CCGGTGATTAGCCGGGGAGGGGAGGGGAGGGGAGGGGAGGGGAGGGGAGGGGAAAGACGAACCACGAACGAGTGAAGCTGCTGCCAAGGAGGGGAGGGGGGGAAGATAGGGAGGATAAAAGGTAGGAAGCACAGGCCCGCAGCGGCAAGCACTGGCAACATCAGGTGCTGCAGCTGTTCCGGCTATGGTGCAGCTGCTTACCGAACCGCCATTGACAATGAAGCGGTACGAGCGATTTTATGCAGGTCTCCTGCTTACCGAGATCGTCAGCGCGCTCGCTCTGGGTATGCCTGGGATGTCCGGCTCCGTATCGAAAGTCTACGGGGGCGCGACAAGGCATCGAGAGGCATCGAGAGGCATCGGGATGCAGAGGCCACAGTCCAGTGTCATGACAGGCCGCAAGGTATGTGTCACCTGGCGGGACATTCTCGTAACCTGGCCCCCGGGTGCCCCTTCTTGTTAACATAACACCTCCAGCCCGCTTCCTACACCCCGGTGCGACACCGCCGTGTGACATGCACCACCGCTTAGCAAAGAACTTGCACCTTCGGTCGACCTTCACATCCGCCGATCTTACCCAACCACCTGCCTTCCAGGGCCTTGCGAATCCTTTCCTAACTCAAACCAAACCAATCACCTAACCACCCGTCTAGCCACCTACCTTATGATGCCAGGCCAGCAGCGGCAGCACCACCAGCCGACCCAGCCGGACAGGAGTTACCCACACACCCAGCTGCTCGCACACCTCCATCACCACCGCCAGTTTCTCCAGGCTGTCGTGCACCGGCAGATGCGGCTCCTGCTGCTGCTGCGGCTGCTGTTGTTGGGTCAATGGCTGGTGGATCGCTGCTGGTGGCTGCGCAAGCTCCTGGCGGTGTGTGTTCAGATCCTGCGACTGGGCTCCGACCCCCGGGAGGGCGGTTCCATGTTCTGCCAGTGGAGAAAGATCGAACATGGGCCTCTGAAGCATCGGCTTGGGCCCTGTCGCCACATCGTCTCCACACGCGTCCACGGAAGGAGAGGCGTCGAGTGGAAACTGCTGGCACGCCGGCGGCGGTGATGGGACCGCCGCTGCCGTCGCCACCGCAGCTGACTCCCCCGGCCGTCGTTGCTTCCCGGTCACCTACGCGGAGGCTCGGGGCAAGAACGCGACGGAACGGTATTACATTTCTTTCATCTGATGAACTTGTCTGTGGGCACCACCTCAGTGAATCAATAACATCTGGAGAGCGTCCTTCCGCGGACCGTAACCCACAAACCCGCAGCACCTACCCACAGCTCGTGGTTGCCTGGGCAAAATAACACCACCGCGAAGCGCTGCTTTAGGGCGGAGAGAGTAGCTCTGAGGGAGCGGGGCAAGTGGGGAGAATGTGGAAATTGTGCATCAGGACCTGGGTGCCCAGTTTAAACATACCCTGCATGTCAGGGTGACGTCAGCTACTGCTGCGCCATGGAGCGCTACTCCTTTTTCCGTTGGCGTTGTGGCTGTCCGACTGTTTATTTTGGCTATAAGAGCAACGCTTCCACATGTTCGCTACGGGGTTCGCAGAGCGAGTGACGGCTGACTCCTGGTTAACAACACAGGGGTCCGTGTTGGGCTACAACCGCCGTCTCTTCTCTTCACGCCGGAGTGTGAACCGGTGGATTAGACACTTGCCTCAAATCATCTATATCATCGCTGATGTCTCCCGCTACAATCAGGACGTCCTCCTGATGCGCAGTGGTGGACAACTTCCGGACCCAAGTGAAGTTCTCCCGATGGTGCGTATGGAGATCGCTGACCGCAAAAACGCGAAGAGTACCCTGATATTTCAGATTAATTTTTCGAAATGCCAGGGGCACCTTTTCCATCCAGGAAATTGAAACGAGCGTTAGTTGGTAGCATAACGCAACATACCTTGAGCATACGCGAAGTACCCGCACTTTTTTCGCACTTGGTAATGGTAATCTTTCGCTCAAAGGCGCGCCGAATCGGAATCTCAGTAAGCAAATGTGCGCCAGCTGCTATCCTTGCTGCAGCGACACTTGAGGGGCGAGCCCCGCTTCGCCCGAGCATGTGCCCAGCTCTCTGCGGCTCAATATTGCGAATGATGTTTTGTTTACATGGATAGGGGGCGTCACTGCATACGTAATCATAGGTGAGGGTACCTAACAACATGGACAGACCCATGGGCAGTACGGAAGCATACAAACACTGCTCGTTTGCGCTGCCAATCAATTTGCCCGAAGTCATATCTTGTAGGATGGCTATGCAAGAGAATAACGTACTTGACGTTAAAAAAACTTTCATTCGGGATTGTTCGGGAGGTTTAGGTTTTTCCTAACGCTGCTGAGGTGTGGAGATGAAGTCTAGTTGATGGACTAAGTTTCACATGCTGAGATGGTGGTGATGGCTGATCTGTCTCTACGGCTGTCGGGTGACTGGATGAGGAGGGGTCTAGTTGGCAGGACCCAAACCGCCGTCTGTTGTACGGTGTAATCAACTTTCAAAATATATAGTCCATGGCCTCCCGGCTTTCACGGCCCCCCTCCGCACTCGTGCGGCACTTGTAACTTTATGACTCGATGCCGGAACTCCATCGTGCGCCTTAACAGACGTCTCCAGCTATACGACGAAGCTGTGGCATCTGTTGACGGCGGGCTCTTTGTGCTTAGTTGTGATGACACTGGTGCGACCTGCCCCGGTCACTACATCTTCCGCCAAAAGGGATGCCCGTCGTCCTCCTGCAACCGCCATAGCACCACACGACCTCCGTTGGCCGGCTCCGAAGAGGCTGCGGCGTCGTACGTCATCCGCCTTTCCTCTTCCCAAGAGCACTACGAGCGGAAACATCGGCCGGTAAATCACGCAAGTTTGAAATCCCACATCCGGGCCCCACCTTGCATTGGGCTTGTCCTGCCCACCGCTACCCATTGAGAGGCCATGGACGACTTCGGGTATCCCGCATACACCTGAACCATACGGATATTAGGAGTGTAAAAGCACACCCATCCCCGACAAGGGGCCCAGCTTGCTTGTGGAATGGAGACCTATCGGACGCATGCGGAGTCGGGGCAGCCTACGATGTTCCCCCAGGTCACGCTTGCCCCGACCATCTCCGCACACGCGGAAAATTGCGGCCTCCTCACTATATGGATCAAAAGCGCGACAATGTTACAAAGGCTTGGCGCAGTAGAATGCTGCGTGACGACATAGCACGGCAAGGCCGTCTATCCAGCCGGGGCGGCGGTTTGCGCATCCCCTAAACCTTAGACAGCTATGACCGGGCCATATAGGGCACATTGTAGGAAAATACTTGCACTGGCAGCCACACCCCATCACAGCAGCGAACAGGTGTGGGGCGGATCCCCACAGCGGCGGCGCTCTTGCCATCCGGCTGCTAAGCTGTGCCTTTCAATAAAACCAGCTGCCACTACTCTCTTACGAAGGGTCTCTTCATCTGGCAAAACCTGTGGCAACCGCTACAGTGCCAATGGTCTTTGAGCCGTTCCACCCGTGACCGTGTCACCACACTGCGGCCGCCTGCCGCGAGGCTTTAACAAAGCAAGCAGAACCACCGTTAAATCCTGACTCAACCCCACCAAGGCGGGGAAGAGCAAGTGCAAATTAGGCTCAGCGGCCCGCAACCAGCTCCGGGTCGAAGCGGCCAACCTGCTTGCGCGCCTTGTCGCGGCGATAACGGATGAGCGGCAGGAAGTGGTGCGACAGGTTCTCCACACCCCACTGCTCCTTTGCGGTCTCGGCACCCATGTCGTCCAGGGTGATGTCCCAGTCCTCCAGGCCATTGGTAGTTTCCCAGTCAATCTTCTTGACCAGGACGGGGTCCATATGCGCCAGAACGCTGTGCGGCAGGTCCACGCCAAAATGCTTCTGGATGTGACGGAATTGCGCTGACAGGGTGAGCATCCACAGCTCCTCCTCCTCCGCATCATCCACCTACAGTTACGGAAGCAAAGGGTTAAAGATAGCGAGGTATATAATAGACGAGCCCACCGCCGGCATGCCCCCTTCCTCCAAACTTCCACTGGCGTTTCATCTACACAGCCAAACCGCATGGCCCTCCACGCAGAACACCTTCTTCCAGGATTCATAGAAAAGCCCGGCCAGTGGGCCTTTCTTATGCTTATGCTGCTACTTCTGGTCCCCAAGCTCCCCATCCACCTTCATCTCCTCCTCCTTCAGCTCAGCCAGCTCAATGTCCATCTGTTCCTCCACCAGGCTGGGGTAAAGAACCTCATCGAAAGCGATGTTGCTCGGGTCCGAGAGCACTGCGTACCATCGGGAAGCAGAACACTAGCTCAGCAAATGGCGGATAAGAAGAGCAGCTAGCATGGATAGGGATGGAAGGGATAGATGGCGACGCGCAACTGGTTGGGTGCGTGAGATAAGAGACCTGACAAGAAGGGGAATCCATTCCCTTTAGGGTTTCAAAATCCGGACTAACGACTTTCACAGAGCCACCGTGATGGCACAAGGCACATAAGAGAAAAGCGTCATGCCCGCACAACTACGGTTTAAATTACGAACGAATCCCAACAATTCTTGAGGGGATGCATAGGCAATGTACACGCTCAGAAAAGGTCCTTTGCTGCTAACCGCTGGCGTAGCAAGCGACCCTTAGGCCGCCGACGACCCACCCTGCTGCTTCTTGGATGCGGCGTAGCGCAGGTAGTCGTTATCAGCCGCTTCCAGCTCAGCCTTGAACTCGGCAGCACGGGCTTCCAGCTCCTTCATGCGGTCCAGAATCTGCTGCGCGGGGGTGCGCGGCTGGGCCTGGAAGCTGGCAACGTCCACATTATCACCGTACAAGGCCTGCGGCCGGGGACAGAGTGCACCAACGGCCAAGATTGTTTCAGGAAGAGCCATTTTGCAAAAGCTTGCGGTGAATGGCTCGAAGGGAATTGATGTGGAATGCTAGTAGCGGCTAATGGACAAGACAGCAGGTGGGAAAAAGGTGACAAGCTGGTGCACATAAATATGCACACGGCACTTCCCCTATCGCACTGGATTCCAGTACACCCACCTTGAGCTCGCCACGCATAGCGTCCTCCTCGGCCTTGTACCTCGCCGCCAGCTTCATGCCCTCACGGTACATGTACCGATCAGACGCATACTTGTGTGCCGTGATAGCCGCTATCACCTCGCTCATCGGCTTACCAGCCAACGGACCCGACTGCAGCTCAGGGCCCAGCAGCTTCTCCAGGGCAACCGCGGGATCGCCCTCCAGCTCCTTCGCGAGCGCTGCACCTGCGGCCTCGACCTCCGAGGAGGGGAAGTCGCCCTTAATAGCCTCCTTCTCGCGCTTGAGCAGGAATGAGTCCAGTGCAGGGTGGTGCGACATGCGCTCCGCCAGTGTCTTGGAGCCGGAGGATGCGGCCTGCAGCAGATCTGCGTACTGCGGTGCCAGCAACTGCGGGGGGAGAGGGGAAAGATGCCAAGATGGCGCGGACGGAACGTCAAACCGATTGGATAAAGCAGGAAGAAAAATTACATGTCAACGTTCCGAAGCGCCAATTTTAGGCATTAAGAAGCCCCCAAAGGCAGCCGTGTGGATGAAATTATTATATGAAATGGGAAGTGCCGAAAAGGCATGCCAAGACGATACGACGGCTGCAAAACGCCTTGCGACCATGTAGGGTACGGTGTCAATAAGGCATGGGCCCTCTACCGTTTCAAAGTACAATATACGGATATTCACGTAACCACGACCTCAATCTCCACGCCGCTCGATGTTCGGACCCACCTCGAACTTGGAGGCTAGCTGCCCATCCACGTCTTTGAGCGGCACCGCTGCCACCTCGGGCGACACCAGCAGCTTCTTGGCCCACATCTTGACGTAGCGGTCGTGCACCTCAGCACGCCGAGCAGCCAGAACCTTAGCGGCAACTGCCTTGCTCACGAACTGAACAGGGAAACGAATCGGGCGGGACAAGGCATGTGGGACGGGTTTATGGGGCAAAGCGCGTGGCAGCACACGACGACTGTATTTGATAGAACTCGCATCCGTAAGGCGCTAAAATGGATGCCAGCCGACCTGGGCCTGTCATTCTTTAACAAGCATGCATGCCCTTCCTTGCACACAATGCGAAGCCTTGTAAGGCACGACACACGCGAGAGGCGGATGCTGAAGTGCTGCTCCTGCATAAGGACTTCCTTCGGGGGCCATGTCACCATGTACAAATTGGCCATGGGCACGAGCGAGGACAATGGAAATTGGTGTGTAGGATGGGGGACTAACCAGGTAGTCTACGGACTCAAATTGCAATCTGCTCACAAAACACAGGGCACGATTGGTCCCTCAGGCGGGACCCCTCACCGCCAGCGCGCAACACCGCGTCCATATCGCGTACCTTGAAACCCGACACAGGCTTGCCCCCATCCACCACGACGGGCTCCTCCTTGGCGCCTCCCGGGAGTGTCACCTTGCGTGCCGGCTCCAGCGACTTGAGGTAGGCGTCCGTCACCTTGTTGACAGATTCCAGAGAGACCGACTTACCGAGTGTCCAGCTGGGCACCGGTAGGCTGCCGAAAGACTGCAGTAAAGCGGAGTTCAGGATACATCAATACTTCAATAAAGGAGAGCCGTTGCGGGGGTGACGTGTGAAAAACACAAGCTACATGTGAGTTGCAGAGTGTGCCTTGACCATCAGAAATGTAATGTTAGAGATTGCGTTGAGCTAATACTCGGCTGGAATGGGAGGTAACCGTGAGTGGGAACAATCTACCTCTAGGCCAGCACCTTGCACTCTGGCAAGAGTGCCCGAACACCGCGCAGACGCTTTTATGAAGCATGAGGCAGTGGTAAATTAGTGGAAGGTGGGAAGCTGGAGAAGGGCCGGCATGCAAGGACAGACGAGTGAAGGGCTGGGTGGATGGCCACATCCGTTAATCGATAACGTGCTATCCCTCCTGAGCGTCGCGCCAACATCATCCCATCCCCTCTTGCTTCATCTCATCCTCTTACTCCTTCATTTCCACAGCAATTGTATTATCGTTTTCGTGCTTCAGTTCCTCCCCTATACGCGGACAACCCCGGACACGCTTGACATACTCCGTACCCGGCAGTACGGTGGTTTCTTGTAAATGCGATTTTTAAACTCAGGTTCGGCTTAGGTTCTGACAGTAATATGCAACACCCAATAGTCTAGTAATTGCCCACAACAAGGAACTCAGACTTTGATGAAGTGCTACCCCAAACCATGCTTTCCATCTCACATCGAGCTGCTTGCTGGCAGCGGCCGCCTCAGCTGCTGCCTTGCGCTCTGACCACCACTTGCTCTTCTGCAATATCAGAGGCCAAACCGGGAAAGCACTCATCGGGTGAACTTGCGTGGTGATAGAGGACTTCGGGGAACTGAGGGTAAAATGAGACTGTTGTTACCCAACAACTCACCGCGTCGACCGCATCCCCCGCACGCTTCTGAAGCACATTGTCGAAAAATTTTCCAACCTCGCCGGGCTTGAGGTTCTGGGCCCGGAAGTTCGGCACTGGCGCGGTAAGGTCTTCATAAGTCCGCGGGTTGTGGAACTTCAGCAAAGGCTGTGTGTAATGAAAACGTAATGACGAAGGATCAGCAGTCGCGCATGCTGTTTTTGGCAAACTCGCTGGTCATCAGCACACACCTCGCCCTTACTGTCGCCTAGGTCCTTGTAGGACTGGAGTAGCTTAAGGATGCCCTCAGTTGCCTCCTTCTTGCTCTTCCATTCCTCAACCAGGGCGGTCGACTCCTTGTTCTGCAGCAGAGTAGCGAATCGCACGTGTTCCGGGAACTCGGAGCACAAACCCCGTAAACTCTTCACCGACGGACCCACCTTAGTTGCGGCCAATCCCTCGCTAAACTCCACGCGCAGGGGTGTCACGTACTGGCGCGCTTGGGCCAGCAGAAGCGAGGGCAGCTCCTGCGATGAAAGACGCCGACACAAGCATCAGCTCCGCAACGCTGAGGCAAGCAGCCGAGATCATTTTTATAATCATAGACAACAAGCCAATAATATAGAGCCCTGCACATATAAGTTGCGCTTCTGCTCCAAACGAAATCGTCCGCAAGCAACCAGCATTTGCAGCGGCATCTAAGCTTAGCCGTTTCGTAAATGACTGATATACCTGCTTGCGCGCGGCAGCCCGCAAGCTCATCATTTTCCAGGCTACCAATCAGGCGACACGCTAATTGCAGCCTGTCTTAAGCTTCTACGGCTGCTGGCCAATGCCAGCCCTGCACGTCACCTACTGCACGTCAGAAATTACACGCTAAATGCGACACCGATTGCAGCAACGGTCTCTCCAATTTGGCACTGCGGAGCGCCGTACATGCAGGACGAGGTATGGGCTTTCTCTTTCTCCTATCCCGCTTCTCCTTCAGTTCACATTTGCAAAACCAGATGAATGAGAGCCAAGGCAATACTGTTGTGCAACTAGTACAACCAGTGGTATCATGGTGGACAAACCTAAGCCGGAAACAAGCAGATCATACAACAGCCATGCTAAAGATGTGCACAGACCTTTTGAAACGGGGGTAAAGGTCGGGCGTCTCTCCCAGTCCCCTTGAATTAATACAATGCTTTCGATCCCACCATGGGTACCCCAAAAGCCTGGCCCTTTGAGGTCACTAAGAATGTGGGGTACAAGTCTCACGGCACTAAACCAACACGTATGGATCGGCCTGGCCGACATCCCCTCAAGCATTCCCCACCCTTTGCCCATAACCAGCAAGTACCCAGCAGGAGAAGATGCATTACACGCCCTTGGGTTCCTTCCTGGACTACATATTACGGTATGCAGTTCCACAAATTCACTGTCAAATCGTCTGATATCAGCTCACCTGTGCTCGGTCGCCTGGCATGCGGAACTCATGTGGTGTCGCCTAGCCATCGAGCATGGCTACCTGCAGTGCCGCCGCTACCAGTAGTTCCCCATAGCTGCTAAGCTTTCAGAAGTGTTGGGCATCGACCCGGCGAGATAGGGGAGTCCACACGAACCCTGCCAGACATGCATCCGCAATAGGTAGGATCTGGCACCTGGCACGGCTACAGCACTGGTATTGGAGAACTTTAAGAAGTAAGCCGGACTATGTGCGGCTCCTTGGCCTCATTTCAATAGCAGGTACGGAGCGGCCGCGATGTGTGATGTTTGTCTATGCCAAGGCAAGGTAAGGGCCCAGGAAGCGCTGCGGATGAGGGTGTCTAGCACGCGATGTGGGATGCTACGGTTCATATCAGATCACTCTGAGCATGAAAAGGGAAGCGCACTTCATGGCTGCCTGCTACAACAATCCTGCTAGGTCCGCGGGATCTAGGAGCAGTGATCCGGAACGAGGCACACGCAGGGTGCTTACTCTTTTCTGGGTCGGCTGCACTCCTCACCCGCATTTCGGGTTCCCTGGGCTCGCTGGGACGCAGCATTACCGTAGGATCCCGGCACAATGTCGAAAGGCTAAAATGCCAGCGTAATCCCCCTGTTGCAATGTGTGCAGCTGACAGGCTTCATCCTGGTCTGCAGGCTCGTGGGAAAAACTTAGAGCACCCACGGTGTAATTGTAAAACCTGGATGGTATTGTATGGCACAAGTTACGGGCTCCCAAGGTTGGCTGTACGACATGGGTGGGGTAGTGGGCTCGGAGGCCAAATAAATTTTCAGGGTCCCTTAAAATTTGGTCACTTGTCACCTGGATGCAGATATAAAAGCACAATAGCATTTGCTACGAAACCTTGCATAATGTACACAGTAATACCTGCTCCGTGAGCTTTCTGGGTGGCATTTGTCACATGGGGCATGTGAAAAAAATGGTGAAGGATTTGCTCAGACGGATTCTGGCTGCAATCCGAAAAAGCAGCGTATAGATACACAGGTATGAATACTCGTCCTGCCACGCCCGCAGCTGGAACCAGGCGCCCGCAACCAGTCGCCCGATATACCGAAAGCTATGGCGATACCTTTGCAGTGAAACTCAGCTGCTACTACTACTACTACTGCGCATTCTTCCCACGAGTGCACGGTGCATACGTAGTCAACAGGCCGGTGTCAGGACCTCACATCTGCAAGCATTGCGATAGCTAGGGCGTAGCGCCTCTAGTTTTTTGGAGAAGGTAGCAGGCCATGCTGGTGGCGGGATGGCGGGGATGGCAAAGTGTAGGGTTGAGCAGGTGGCCGTGGGCAAGAGCATGTGCGGCCGGGCAGGTGAAGGGCAGAAGCAAGCGGGAGAAGCCGTGAGCGGGGAAGGGGCAATTGGCGCAGCAATCCGTCTAGGGAAGGTGAGGCGAGGAGCCCGTAGTGGCCGGGCTGGGTGGGACGGGACGAAGGCAGTAATTTCAAGGCGTTTTGTAATCCCTGTGGATGGAGTTGCCAGGATTGGTAACTTCCGCACATATCTCCAGTGTTTACGCGCTTTTTATACTGGAAGCTAGAAATGGCTTAATAGCGGTTTGCACGCTTTATCTCCTAAAGCGATGTGGGAAAGTTTTCATGGCTTTACCGCGTTGCCTTAAGTGAAGTCTAAAAAAAAATTTCCCCCTTGGTTGGATCGTCATTTTCTCAAAACTGGCGGCTAGCCCGTGTAATATCCCCTTAGGAGCCAATCGAGCCAGGTTATTTAACTGAAGTGGCACCTGGTCGGCGATCCTGCCGTGTGATGTGACCCTCTCATCAGTAGGAGGCCTTCCGGCCCCCCAAATTTTGGTGCTGTTGGCAGAAGTTCACACCGGTGATCCCTTTGGTTCCAACCACTGATATCTAAGCGGTGCAGCAGAATTGTAACACAGCAAAGGCGTAACCCGGGATGCTCAGATTGGCATTTGCGTCGTTACATTGCCCCCCACTTAGCAATGGACGTCCTCGGCCATTATTTCGAGCACAGGAGCCATCCCACCTCGCGCCAGTGCGCTGGTTTATCCATTACACCATGAAATCGCCAATTTGCGACTTGCTGGTTGCCAGAATCGAACCGCCGACCCGAAGTTTATTTCGGAATTCGTGCGGTCCCGTCTCGATACCATTGTAACACAGCAAAGGCGTAACCCGGGATGCTCAGATTGGCATTTGCGTCGTTACAAGAATGCGCAGGAATCACACACCGATACAACTAGCTGACCACCTGAGCCTTGTAGTGGCTTTGCAGCATTATCAACACACCGGTTCGGATGAAGGGTCCGCCATTCGAGACACGATATCCATTGTCCAGCTGCGTACATAGTGGCATGAGGAGGGTAGGATCCGGGCTGGAATTGGGGAAGAGCTCTGTCGCAGAACTGGCCTGACTTTGTATTCCTGACAAAAAAATTGGTCCGGTATCTTGAATTGTTCTGGCTGGCTCGCTGAAGGTATTCGAATTGCGTTGTGGAGCCCCAGAATTGCGCTGGCGGGTGGGCGGACCGGGTCTGAATTGGGCTGTCCTGTCCGGGTGTTGAATTGGCCTGCCAGCTAAGCATGCCTCCCGAAGTGGATCTATATGCACTAGCTAGGCTCGAAATCGTGCTAAGTTCCCAACGCCACCACTCGCCAACCCAGTTACCCAGGGTTAGATGGTGTTTTTCCGAGTGCACGAGGCACATTCGTACTTAATGTGGCACATGAGCAACGGATGGCTCAGTTTTGGATTTGCGAAGCTGCCCTTTGCAACGCACAGAAGCGGACTAAGTGAGACGCCAAAGACAAGTTCTCGCTGAGCATTTGGGAATTGAGCGGCGTGTATTACCTCGAGTCAAATCCAGGCAGCTCTTCTAGAGATGCTGGCAGAAAAGGCCAAAGGTTAAGCAGTCGACGAGACACATGCCAAGGATTAAGACTCCCTGCGAATGATCGGTAAGCCGTCAGTACTAGTTATTGCAAGTGAAGTAAACACTTACATTCGCAGGGAGCATGGCAAGCACGCTTCCTTTCATCGTGCTCAGGTTGCTCCGAAACACAACACTTTCGGGTGTCTGTGCATTATCTCGCACTCTGGTTCATTACTTGGTTGCATAAGCGTTGTGCATAAAACAGTGAATTGGACTTGTATAATACGCGGGCCACTTGTAGAAGAAGGCCGCGAACCAATAGTCTACCACAGCTTGATTGCTGCCTGGACCGCACACGCTTCGCCACTATGCAGACGACAATCCTGCGCCCCTGCGTCCGCCTAAATGGCTTCCGGCCAATGCCTTTTTCACGGGCGTCACCTCTGTGCCCTGGCCTCCCTCTTGCCGGGTTGCGCAAGCGGATGCAACTCCAGTCCTCCAATAACGGTGACGGCTTTATTAGCGATGATGAAGGAACCTACAACGTTGCCGCTGATTATTGCGCACTTGACGACAAGGGTAAGAAAGCCTCAAAGCGTTCGCTGGGAGAGATGGAGCAGGATTTCCTGGCAGCGATGACCGCCTGGTACTACGAGGGCAAGCCCACCATGTCCGATGAGGAATTTAACCTGCTTAAGGATGAGCTGATCTGGTCCGGCAGCACCGTGGCCGTCCTGAGCAGCGACGAGCAGCGTTTCCTGGAGGCCTCGATGGCGTACGCGAAGGGCAAGCCGATTATGTCGGACGAGGAGTACGACCTTCTGAAGGCAGAGCTCAGGAACAAGAGCAGTATTGTTACCGCGCAGGGTCCGCGGTGCAGCATTCGCAGCAAGAAGATGTACGCAGACGCCGAGCCTGATTACCTTCGCATGACCGCGCTAAGCCTACCCGGTGTCATGTTCGTCCTGGGCCTTGTGTTTGTGGCTGACTACTCCTCCGGCTTCGGCCTCACAAAGGTCATTGAGCTGCCGGCACCGTACGGCGTTGTACTGCTCTGGGGCCTGCTGCTGCCGTCATTGTTCGTGATCGCCTACGCGCTTACCCAGGTCGGCTTTAAGGACAACCTGATCCTGAAGGCGCCCTGCCCCAGCTGCGGTGCTGAGAACTTTACGTACTTCGGGGATGTGTTCACCGTCTCCGGGAACCGAGGGCAAAACACGTTGGAGTGCCACAACTGCAAGGCGGACCTGACCTTTGATGAGTACAAGCGGATCGTCGTGGTGGCAGAGACAGCGGAGGTCAAGGCTGAGAAGCTCGCGGCGGTGGGTTTCTGGGCTCTGGTGGGGTCGAATGTGTAGATGCGTGATGCATGGGGAGACTGTATATGCGCTCTGTACAAGGATTGGGCCAGATGTGCGACGTTCAGGAAACGTGCTGGGAGCAAACCATGGCGTATCTGATGAATTGGTCGTTGGGATGTCAAGTTTTAAGGCTGAGTGTAGATGCTGTGTGGCGCCTCACATCCCTATGTTTCAACAAGCGAGAGTGAAGCTCACGAAGATGTAATTTATTTACGATATTCTTTTCGCTTGGCCTACGACCTTACGGATCTCCTTCTGCCTCCTGCCGTCGTTTTTCTTTCTTTCCGTTTGTACAGGCTGCTGCCAAGAAGGCTGCGGTGAGTAAAATGGTCTTATTACGCGGTTTCGTGTATTGAACTGGAAACCGCTTGAGTAGCTGCATCCGCCCATGATCCGCAGTGAAGTGGATGACGATTCTGTTGATCCTTAGCTGACCGCGGTGCTTCGTGTCTTGATATACGATTATCGTCGTTACCGATACACCGTGGTGATTTTAATGCGCACTCTGGCACATATTCGATGGTTTCCTTCTAAAACGTTGACATACCCGTTAATCCCGCAGGCTGCTGCTAAGAAGAAGGCCAAGGCCGCCGCTGTTGCCGAGTAGACCCGGCGGACTTGCAGCACGCAGATCCGCTGGGGTTGCGCTACGGCGGCAAGACCCCATCTACATTTTGGCTGCCGCCTTGGCGCGCAGCATTGGGACATGGCTTTGTGCGTATACAGTCGTGAGCGAGTGAAGGGCCGTGTCCGAGTTAGATCGTCCGTTGCTGTGAGCCGCTACGGACCCCCTTGAGCTTGAGCAGTTCGTGAAATCGTACGAGGTATCTGTTTACACCTCAGGGGTGCTGAGCCGAGCCGAAATGACGCAAGCACACGGAAGATGATGACGGTGTCATATGAACAGCAAATTTTGAACGAAAGGAGGTTGAGGGTGATTATTGAGGGCCGTGTGCGTCAGGTGCGGAGGCGCGCATTTTGAGTGGTGAGAGGGAGAAATGGGTGCAGCATACGGTTCTGCCACCACAGTATTGTTAATCTGTGGGTCATCTGTGAGCCGTCTTGGAGTTTGGGGTGTTGTTGGGTATGTGCAGTCGGCTGGCGCCGTGGTAGAGGAGCGAGGTGTCCTGTACGTGCATGCGTTCCCTTGCTGCGCGGCCTGTGCTTTTGGCTGGGTTGCGTTTTCTGCACGGAGGTCGAGCTGATGTTGTTATGGTTGGGAGCGCGACACGATTGGGGCTCTGGAGCCCAATGCAGGTATCAAGGGAATTCGAATCTCAACTCCATGAATAAGGGCGCGGCAGGCAGTTTTGGCCCAGGTTGAGATAGCTCGCGTGCCTGCCCCCCAACCATCCGCATCTCGTGTTTCAAGACGACCCATTGGACCTGGAGAGGTTGACGCCTTGGCGCTGATGTTTAGGATCGCAGACAGTTCGCAATTCACCAACTGGCGGGCAATATGTCTTGCGTTACTTGACGGCGCCTTTGCATGCATATTTAAAACCATCTGGCAGGACAACCTTTTTCCCACGCCTCCGTCGCTAAACAGGGCTCAGTCCTTGGAGACTCCTTTCAAGTGAATGAACAAACAGCACTGGTTGCGGTTGGAAAAGCCAAGGTAGAATCCTTGACAGTCGTCTCCGTGAGGGTGAAGCCATATACTGGTGGCGTGAAGCCATTGAGCAGCCATTATGGCGTAAAGAGGTCCTAGCAATCCTTGCGTCCATGGCCCCACCATGTCCTACCTATATATGTGCAAAACCCACTCTTCCCGGATGGAGTGAGACGGCTGTGACACCAATTCACTGCCGTTTCAGCTACTGCATGCAAATTAGTAACCAAAAGTTAAGGAACCTTAAATAACTTAAGCCTTACAATCCTACCGCCATCCCGTTTCAACATAATGTATTAGGACCACAAAACTGTACAGCAAACGTAGGCACATATTGTTGGCACGCCCCTGGACCATGACAAATGGCAATGATCCTCGTTCAAGTGCAATAGAAGTAGAGGGCCAAGCTTCCAGCGGCCCAACCGGCTAAACCTCGGCAGGAGTCTGGGACATGTACAAACCCAACTCCCCAAACCGAACGCCCATCGCTCATCCAACCGGAATTGCAACCCTGGTAGTGTGGTTCTGCATCGTGTTGGCCCTGCATGGTTAGACCCATCCACCCATACCGCGCCAACATTACCTGCCGCTGCTAGCCATCCGCCTCCTACCATTCAAATCCTCTTTTCCCTCCCGTTTCGTTCCCTCCCTCCACGATCTGTGATTCTCTAGCCGTCTAGGCCAGATCTCGGCCCACGTTTGGGTACCATCCAGCATGTCTAGATGTCTTATCCTTAAACCCCAACCTCGCCGCGGCGCGTGCTGCCGCCTTTTCCTATCGCTCCACCACCCCTGCGTTGACGTACTTAGCTACCAACCCCGGCAGTGGCCCCAACTGGTAGCCCATGGTCCCCAGCAGCACCCGGTACACCACATGCACCAGGAAGCAGTACGTCAGGCCGTTGATGAGCAGCAAGGAGGAGATGGTGCAGTTGACCGCCAGCGGGGACGGGGCCCCGCTGAGGCCCAGTGCGGCGGAGGCTTGGTCCTGTGCGACAGGGTGAGGCGGAGGCGGGAAAGGGTGAATGCGGAGTGGGACGGGTGAGGAGTGGGTTACAGAGGGTGTGTGGTCCCCAGAAGTCAGTATGAGCTCGCCTCTGCTCCTTTCCCAGCTCCCAGGTGCTGCTGCCCAGAGGCCTCCCCCCGAACTGTTGTCGGCCTGGATCCCCTAACCGAGCCCTACTGCCTGCACAAAACAACCGAAGGGTCATTAATTTCCAGCCCGCTGAGTCGTGCTGGCCATCTGCATGCAAGTCGTGCCTCGAACCGCTTATTCCACAGGAACCCCGTCTCCAGGTGGGACCCCCTTCTGCCCGCCTGATGGCTTGAGCAAGGGAACCCCCACTTCACCCTTAGCAGGCTGATTCGCAGTTTTCCTACTTTCCGCAGCTCCATCACTCACTTCCACCAAAACCCATGCCCTTACCAGCATATTGTACACGTTGCTCAGCAGCAACGCAAACATGTTCTCGTTCATGGTCACCGACGACATGACCAGGTACGACAACTGGCCGCACATCCGTACTAGCGCGCCCGCCACCACGCCAGGCCAAAAGCCCACTCGGCTGCTCCATAGTGAGCCTAGGGTCGCTGCCAGCAGACCGTGCAGGAACAGGTAGCTCATTGCCCGAAGGGGGCCCAGGAGCACTGACAATGCGTGGGGTAGGGAAGGTATGGCGGAGGGGTTGAGAATCGGGGTCCATGTTGCTGTATACACTTACACCTAGACTGTACGGCCCTTGCCGCGCTGACTGAGGAAGCTAACCCCACAACCGGTGCGTGTCAGCTGCCCCGGGTCTTTAGTCCTTGGTAAAAGGTCCGGGTCCAGAGGTGGACATCAACGGCCGCCGTTCCAGCCCCCAGCCTTTCCCTGGCGCATGCTCCAGATACTATCCAACGGCCCCTTTCATCCCACCATTAACTAGGCTACCATGCGACTCGCCCCTCTTGCTTCTGGGTCCTACCTCGTAGTCATGGCGCCCTCCATACCACCCGCTCTCACCTTCCGTCTCTCCAAACCCCACCGGACCCCACCCAACCGTTCTCTAACCCTGGCTCTTCCCTCTCGCAGCTGGCGTGACCACCTTTCCTTCCCGCAACGTACGTACGCTTTCCCAGGTCCCTCCCCTTGCTGACCGACCTCCCATCCGGTAGCTGCCTTCTCACCTACTAGCAGGAAGCAGGTCGCGGTCATGGTCCGCCAGCCCGCTCCTCCGCCACTGCGCAAAGCCGACAGCACCACCGGTAGGGGCAGGAAGTAGCCCAGGCTGTTCTCCAGCTTAAGGATGGTGGATAGCATGTAGGCTAAGCCCGACACGGCCGCAAGCATGGCGGTCTCAACCAGGGTCTGAGGAGGCGCAAGTGGTGGCAAGTGGCACGGGCCCAGTGATGGGCGGTCTACCGAACGCTGCAAATGGGAATTTAGCTGATCCACGGTATGGCGGCACATATGCGTATTACATGTGTGCATAGATGCATGCATGCATGTCTGTGTATGTGTATGTGCACAAAAGGCGAGATGCGGCACTCAGGTCGTTGCGCAGCGTGGACGTGTACCACGCCGATAAGCCTTACAAAGTGAGCGACCTTGCCGTACAGCCAAGCCTTATAATGCGCATTGGGGTTTTAAGTGGCAGCGAGCCCAGCTCTTTCTAACCGTGCAACATCACTCCTTCCCGTTGGGACCCTGACAGAGGAGTTCTCTAATCGTGGGCGGTAGCGGGGCTTCTTGGTACAGGGATCGTGAGGAATTGGGAGGTTGCAGACACACCCGCGTGTCTTCAAGTGTGTATGAGGACTCCCTGTCGGCACCGCACGGGGTGGATGGGCATGGGACGCCGCTAGATGTGACGTCCCCTTCGGGCTGGCTTGACGCCGTCGGTACCAGCCTAAATCGCCGCCCTTCGTTTCGCATGCAACGTCCGCCGCGCCTCGTCCTGGGAATAACTAACGCCGCTGTTTCTGCCTTTCTGTTGGGCTCCGTCGCTGAGGCTCCAACTCGTGCTGTACAGGTGGCGCACGATGACGGAAACGCCCGAGCGAACGGGACCGGGAAGGGCGGCCGAGGATGTTTCAACCTAGATTTGGTGCTTGGCTGGCTCAATGGGCATGGTGAACATCGGGAAAGGGGGCATGCGGCCGATGCCATAATGACCGCGTGCAAGCTGGTGGTTCTTGCCTATCAGTTATCATCAAAAAGATGACTGCTGCATAGTATGGATACTAATTGATACTGTTGATGTATCAACTCCAATGCTCGCATGGCAGCAAGGGATGACCCGGGAGCCATGGGTCGCTGGTATCGTTCCGCGAGCCATGCAAACTGAACCTGCTATTTTGGAGAGATATACACTACCAATTTAAGTTACAGGTTGTAGGGAAACTTGCAAACATATGTTGGTCGTGCCATACGACTTTCAACAGTTTAACAGCTTAATAGTACATGTTGCCAGCATGCGCCAGCGGTGTTACTACATTCCACTGTAGTATTGAGAGGTTTGAACGTTGAACCGGTCGTTCAGGAGCACATAAGTCAGCTGCTGGAATGCCACGCGGAAGGAAGAAGAAGGAAGGACAGGTTCTTGATATCCAGATCCATGAGGATGTTTGGGCTATGTGCGATGCATGCCAGAAGTGGCGCAGGCTGCCGCCCGGCACCGTTCTGGACGAAAGCCAACCTTGGTAGGTTGCGAGTAACAAAGTTATGGTTCAAACTTGTTCGTAGGTAATGGAAAGAATTATGCATTGTGCCTGGTCGTTTGTGCACCCGTTTAGGCGGTGGCACCCGTTTAGGGGGTGACATGACGCATACTCACGCTCGTTCACTATGCATTCCGTTACAATGTCTGCACTAACGTTGTAGGTATTGTACCCAGAATCCAGACAAGAAGTACAACAGTTGCTCACTAGATGAAGAGGTGCGTCGTTCAGGATTGGCGTGGAGTTGTAACGCTGTCCTACTTTATGGTGCCGCTTTTAGTGACTAGCTTTCGTTCCTGACCTTGTGCACTGCTCTGCGTGTGGCTCGTGCCAGTCGACGAACCGGCTGGGGACTCGGCGGGGACGTTGGCAGTTAGCAGCCGGCCCAAGGGTCCTCATCCCAAAAGCCCTCCCTTGCTTCAAATGCTCTTATCCAGGATTGGCAAAACTCTGGAGACCAAGAAATTAGTGCGGCGCTTGGATCTGAGATTAAAGCGTGAGTGGCGTAAGCGGTTGGGGGTTTTATCTCCAACCACCCTGGACGGCACGTGAGAAGCTGATAACCTACCGCTTTTAAGTGAACCCCGATAGTCGAGGCCGCCTTTCATATAAGACAATGTGCACATTGAGACTCGGTCTATGTGATTCATGCTGTTGTAACTCCAGCGCACGGAAAAGTGGCAAGTCCCAGAATCGATGCACACAGGAGCAGCGGCGATAGGCGCTTGGGCAGGCACGTGGTTTCATGCGTTGCTGCACGTGGGCCGCTGATCGTTCTGACGCGAACAACCATCTTTGCCTCCCTAGGGTGTGATTGAAGATCTGACACGATGCGGCGCCTCCCTTGCTCTCTCAATTGTTAAGTCTTTTCCCATGCGATGCGACAGGGAGGCGGCCAAATTGGCGTTGAAAAAAGCGGCTGGACACGATTTGAGCATGGGAACAGGCGCGGTTCGTGGCCGGAAGCGCCAGACTGGTAAGCTTTCTTGCAATGGAGGCCGAGGATGGGGTGTCTGGAGTCAACCGGCAGAATGAAAATTTGTAGCCCGTGGGAGAATTACAGGATTAGAAACCATGGCCACGGCGCTCGCTCCCCTTCTCTTTGCTTTGCGAGGCATACCTACCAGCGATCAAGTCGAGTGGGCAGATTTTGATTTTAGTTGGCCGCAGCAAGGCATCTCATCTAAGCAAATATGTCCTGAAACCCTCATCTGATGGACACTAGCATTATGCCTTGGCTCCGCCCCTTCGCATTCGCAGACAGCGACACGTCCTGGGGTGTGGTACCCAAGAAGGTGAAGGGCCTAGGTACGCGGATAAGCGCGGTGCGGCTAAGTGGGTCAATGTAGCTAAATTATTTTAACGCCGCGTTTGTTGGACCACCACTGTAAAGGAAGGAGTGGTGGCCGTCCTGGGGCAGCCAGGGTGCATGATGGGGCCCTGATATGTGTTGCGCGCACCAGGGAGAGTGGCAAATGTTTCTCTTAGGTGATATTTTTTGCGTCCAGGTATGTATACCCAATGCAGAGCTCCTAGCAAGGGATGAACATTGCCAGCTGGTGAACTGGAGAGACCTGCTTTGCGAGGGATATAAGCAATCACCACGCAACGAGCACATCTGGAGGCCACCTTTCGACTGCAGCTCTTCTTGCACTCACTGGCAAACCGTGTCAATTGGTGTTATTGTGCCATGTCCAAATTTTCCTTGGGCTTACCTCCCTCCCGCCTTGCTTCCTGACGTCCTCAGATCCGGCGACACCATCAGCTATCCCCGCTCCTGCTCCCGCTCCCGCCGCTGCACATGCCTATGCGCCAACCGCGGCGCCAGCTACGCAAGCGTCGCTCCCAACCCCCGCCGCCCCAGCTGGCGCAGTCACAGCGGCCGCAGCAGCAGCCAATTTGACATTCCCATCATTAAACGACGAGTTGAAGGCGCTGTCGAATGGCTGCTCGCGCATTCTGGTATGACCTGTCTACATGGCAGTGATTTGAGCGCAGTGGGCGTGGGTGGGTTGGTACAGTATTTCCTCGCTAAGCGCGTGGAGGAGTTCGGGGGCGGGGTTATGCTCCTCGTTGCGGGTTATGCTCCTCGTTGGGAAAAATCGCTTACGTAATGTACACCTTTCTTTGACCTGCCGTCCTGGACGGTGATGTCCGCATCGGGGCACAGACATACCGCCGAACTACATCTTTGTAGAACCTGGTGTCACTCTTGACCATGTTCTCATAGAGTCAATCTGTGTATTAACAAATGGAACTAGGTTGCAAAGGCCGCTGTAACAGGCAGAGTAAGCGCAAAAGATGCAAAATGTTCGTCTGCATTGCTGGTGTGAGTATGCAATGCTGCTGCCCCTGCACCACATGGAGCTACACGAGCCCTTTCCATGACAGAAACTGGGCCGGAGGCAAAATAAGCACTGACGTGCGTGTGCCTCGTTTCCGTTTCGTTTTATTCCAGAACAACGGTGGAACATGGGAACCCACGCGGCCCAGCGGACACATGTCCCAGGACCACATCAATGTACCTCAGTGGTTCTGGGTGGGCATGCAGCACCTAGTGCCGCAGGCGGCGGCGTTGGCGGCCAACGCAGTGGAAGTTCTAACAGCGCTGCAGTACTCTACAGGGGGTGGCCAGCAAACGGCTGCGGCGGCCACTAGCACACTGCAGGCGGAATTGTACGTGCGACTGTCACTGATGAGCGCCGCCAGCATGCTGCAGCCGGTGGTTAAGCTGGCGATGCAGGGAGGGGACCTACCGGCGGCGGCTGTAGCGACGGCGCCGAGGCCTGCTCCGCAGCAGCAGCAGGCGCAACCGCTGCAAGCGTCAACTCCAGCACCGGCCCCAGCCCCGGTGCATATCCCGCTGCGTACCCAATCTCCGCTCCCGGCCTCTTCTCCGTTCCCATCTCTAGCTGCGACTCTGCTACCGGCCGCAGCCCACTCCCCTACGGCACCAGTCGTGACCCCGGGCGAACCCATAAACGCGGCGTTGCAGCAGACAACCCATCCGCTACAGCCGCTACCGCTGCCATCCCCAGCACCTGCTGCACCTGCCGGGGCGATACCGACATCTCCATCCGCACCCGTCGCTGTGGGGCCGGCGCCGCCACCGCAATCTGCCACACCAACTGCCACACCGTCAGCATCCCAGTCGCCCACAGCTGGGACCTCGGCTGCCGCCACTAGCGGCCCTACTGCCGCGGTCGGCACCACTGCCGCGGGTGGTTGCGGTGGGTCATCCCAGCGGCCTGGCGGCAGTGCTGGCGGCTCCCTCAGCCGGGCATCCAGTCCAGGAACAACGAGTACGACCCCAACAGACACCGGGCCCGGGAGCAACGGCCGTGGGGAATCACGCGAGCGCCGGGAGTCCCGAGAGCCGCGAGAGCCCCGGGAACTTCGGGAGGCGCGGGTGCCACGGGAGCGGCAGCGTGACCCAGCCTACGAACGTCATCTTCAGTCCCAAGCCGCGCAGCAACCACAGCCGCCACCACCATCACATCACCTGGGACGAGTGGGCAGCGATCGTGAGCGCGAGCGAGATAAAGGTCCCGACCAGCCCCGTGATCGGGATCGCGATCGGGAGCGCCGCGACGGGTCTTATATACGGGAACGGGAGTATCACCGGGAATACTCGCGTGAGCGTGACGGGGCATCCTACCCGCCGCATCCCATCTCCAACCATCCACACTCGCACTACCGTGATTCTCGTGAGCGTGAGCGGTACCCGGGGCCGGAGTCACCCCGGCAGCCGCCCCACCATGGCCACGGCCCTGATGGTGGCGGTCGTGAATGGCATGACGGACGTGGCGAGCGACGGGATAGCCGCGAGCGTGAGCGGTCGTTTGAGCGGCAGGGGCCACCGTCCCAGACTTACGGATATGTTGGCTACGGCAGTGGTAGCGGCACAGGCCATCGGGAAGGGCCTTACGCTCACCAAGGCTTCGGTGGCCGTGACTATCGGGGTGACAGAGACCGGGATTACTATGGGCATGAGGGGCCTTCCCGAGGTGGGGATCGGGATGGTTACTACCGCGGCGGGAGTGGCAGTACGCACTACGGCGGCTTTCCTCCAGAGTCCCACCGTGGTGACAAGGACCGTGTCCGTGGAGGAGGAGGCGGTGGACCACAAGACTGGTCCGGCAGGGAACGGGATTGGGATTTCGTCTACGACGGCGGTAGCGCTTATGGAGGTGGACACTATGAAGGGAGCGGTGGCGGGTCGTATGGCTCCGGGCGCCCGGCCGGTGGGCCGCCAATGTCGCAAAGATGTCCACCGCCGCATGGTTACTCGCATCATGGACCGGCCCCAGGAGCCCCGGGCCATTTATCTTCACCGAATCGTGACCGGGCGCCTTCCAGGGGCCCCTCTTCCTACCCTTCCTCTCAACACCATCCATCGTACCCGCCTGCGGGTGGACCGTCGCCACCGCCAGGGACCCAGGCTACCACCACGGCCGCGGGGACGTCGGCTGTGCGCGGTAGCGGCCCGCGGCCTGTGCCGCTACCGCCGTCCCTGGCGTCCCTGCCTCCCGAAACAGTTGCCAAGCTTTTGCAGGATCAGGGTCACACAGTAAAAAGTGTACACGTCGTCAAGCCCTCCTCGCATGGGCAGCCACCGCCAACGCCATCACAATCGCCGCAGCCTGGGGTTGGTACGTCAGGTCGGTCTAGCTTTGCATCTGCGTCATCCGCTCATGCAGCCGGAGCAATTAGCAATCTTCCCTCAGGCATTGCACCGCCCGTGACTGTTGCACAAATTAGGGCAGCAGCAATGGCGGCGGCTCAACAGAAGGTGCAGCAGGGTTACGTGCACGGATCGGAATCCGGCAATCGAAGTACTGGTGGTCAGAGATAGGGTGTTGAATGTGGTTATATTATCTTGTAAGTACAGATGTTGTACAGAGAACAGTTCCATGTCTCTAAATTGGTTTTTGTCCTTTTGCCACTAAATTGGTTTTGTCCATCCATATGACGCGAATAATTCATTGCCGATGACGCGAATAATTCATTGCATTAGTACGGAATAACACTTTGGTATTTACAATAGTCTCTCGGCCTGAAACTGAGTGCATAAGCGTTCTGAATATACAAAAGCATTTTCATAATTTGTAGATATTGTCTTGTCAATAAGAAGAATGAAATGAATGTAACTTGGCCGGACTGCTTACAAGTATATTGCCAAAATAACGGTTAGGGCAACGTCCATCTCAATTAATTACACTCCACTTGAACTGCCAGACAACAAAACATCCTGCATAATGTAAATAAATAGTATGTTTGGATCTCATTCCTAACACTTCATTCCAGTGTCTTGAAGCCTGGCTTGGCAACATCTCTCTTTCCCCTGCCGGCATTCTTCGCTCGCGCCACTCCACGTCCGCAACGGCTTGACGAATCCTTGGAAAGTTCAGCTTGCTTACGCGTCTTGTTCGATGGTACCTCACCCTACAACACAGGAAAAATTGGTCAACTAGAGCATAATACCAAAAATGGCAACAAGTGGAACAGGAAGATAAGAGCTCAGACTGTGAGTGGTGTGTAATTCATTTGTCGGCATGGCTTTGTTGGTATTTCGCCAATACACCGAACGAGACAAAACCATCATTGCTCTCATCCGCGACAAACGGCAAACTGATGCTGGAACACCTTAGTAAGCTGCGCACCTGTACGCATGCAAGCACCGCCTCCCATGATAGACCTCCATCGCCATAGCCATCGCTCTCGTCCCCGTCATCGGCAACCGATGCAGCCGTAGGATCTTGATCTCTGCACCTCTTAGACCCTTTGCCCGCCACAGATGGGACAGCCTCCGTAGCCTCAAGGTTGCCATCATCAGAAACACATGGTCCAGAGTCTTCACCCGTGGAACCCTCGGATGCGTCCTCGTCCGAGGACGTACCTCCGCTGGCCAAGTCATCGTCCTCGCTCTCCTCATCCGAGCCGGAGGATATTGCATCTGGATCAACCGCTGTGTCCACCTCAATTTCTCCATCGCAACGCTCATCTTCCGGCATGTAGTAGTCCTGCTGTACCGGGATGGCGGATTTTACCTGGGCAGCTGAAGCGCCAAGAAGCAATTCGCGCACAGCCCGTGCCGCTGTGGACATAAAAGGTAAAATATTCTCAGAGATAATACACACAATGCTGTCATGCGTCATACATAAGCCGATGATGTAGCGTGTCGGGCACACGCAAGCCAACCTACAAATACGTATGTAACATATACAAATACATCCTTTCATGCTTTGATTGTTAATGCTCTATATAATGCTCTATATTTTTTTACAGAGCCGTTAGGAGGGTACTCGATTAAGACATCTTTACCTGCTGCCGCCGCCTCCGGCTTAGCGCCAGCCTCCTTAGCAGCATCTTCCTCGGTTACGAGCTCCTTTGGTACAGGCAAAGCCGCTGCAGAAGCCGTGCCCAGTCCAGTGAGCACATCGTCCTTTGCGGCAGCAGAGCCAGGGGCGTCTTCGGTGTGGTCCGGGGGAAGGGTGAAGAAGGGAACCTTGCCACGCTGCCAATCATACAACACCATGCGTGCGGCTGTGTTAAGGTCCGGTTCGCCGCCGCGCAACAGCTTTCCGGAAAGCCTTGCAAGCTGGGCAAGGAAATCCTCCGTGTCCTTCCATTCCTTAATCTTGTACGCACGCTTCTGCAAACAGTATCGAGGTTAATTGATACACCGATTGATTATACAGGATACCAAAAGAACCCTTGGAAAACTGTTGTGAAATTGGAAAAACAATGGTGATGATCGAGTGAATGAAGCAATTTGATATTCTGGTTTCGGCACGGCTCAGTGAGATTCCCACGAAAAAGTGTCCTCAGAGCGGACCCTCAGATGTCTCTATCTACTGTGAAGTCACATCATTGCCGGCCTCAAAACCAAGGCGTGCGATAGGCAGCACTGACCGGAGTCAATTCAGGCGTACGCCAGGCTCATTGCTCCTATCCACCTACCAGATACTCGGGCTTGACACGAGCAAGCACGGGATCGACGTGATGCGTCGCGTCCTCAAGGTTCTCGACCCGCACAACTCCCTTCAGCACCAAGTCCGTCGGACTGTCATTTGTGCGGTTGTACACGACACCAGGACAGTCAATGCAGAAGATGCGCTTCATCAGGGTGATGTACTGCCAGACCTTGGTCTCGCCTGGGATGGGCGCTGCCTTGCAGACCTGCAAGGTAAACAGCCACGTCACGATATCATATACAGTTATTAGTAGTCGAGCTGTTCTTACAACCAAGCAGCATAATTGGCCTACCTTTTTCGTCCGGAGCGTGTTGATGACGGAGGACTTCCCGACGTTGGGGTAGCCTACGAAGCCGACAGATATCGCTTGCTTGTCAGATCGCAACCGAGCGAGCTGCCGTAGAAGCGACAGCAACGCGCCCTTGCCGAAGGGATTGGTAATCGAAGCATGAAAGGCCAAGACGGGAAACTCTCGTGAAAGGTAGTGCAGCCATCTTTTTGTAACCCACGAAGGGACCTGCGCCGCCGCGTTTCAGCCAGGAGTGGAAACATGAAGTCATTCCGTAGTCGTATGGTACGGACAAGAACCACAATCATCCTCAACAACGGCGCGAGATTCAATGACCTGGAGAGGCAAGGCAGAATCCAGATATACGGCGCATGTCATGGCTGATCAGGAAATGTTGGCTACATAACGTGGAGTGCCACTTTTCAGAGTATATTTAAGTTGTCATCCATCACTTCAGCCACAGTCATGCCACTGCATATCAAGTGATATGCAACAATTGAATGGTCCGTCAGACATCCAAGGAAGAATCAAGCCGCATCAGCTCTCAAGCCCGGCGAAGGCGAAAGCTCTAGACGGGCCCTGCGAATGGTTTCTGAGAGAAGCCCTGTTTGGAAACGTCATCATTGGACCTTGGACGGAAGGACAGGCAATATGCACTGTATGTAGGCGGCAACTATACACTGATTGCAGCGGTGCCACAGGAGCCTCAGCCTAACGAGATTCCACAGCAAAAGTTTCGTCAACGATAACTCGGAATGCAATATCTTCATAGACTACCCAGGCACCGCACGAAACATATCACGCACAGCGCGGGAGGCAAAACTTTACTCACCAGGTCACACTTGTTCAGTAGCAAAATAATGTGCTTGTGCCGCAGATGCTTCCGAATGTGCTGCTCCAAAAACGTACAGCGCGTACCATTCGGATCCCGTGCGTCAAGCACCTGCGCAAAACATGACGAATAGACGGCTTAAATAAACCATGGTGTGCGTTGACAGGGTAACAAGTACGGGAGGATCTTAGGAATGTCACATGCTGGGTAAGACCCAAGAGGTAACGGCCCCGACGGGGCTCCCCAAGGCGATGGAATCAGCAGTTGTACACCAGGCTGCGGCGAAGCTCAACCCGAAGGGAACCGCACCACAACCTCGATCATCATTCTACGGTGTTGCCGTGGACTATACACCCACAATAAGGGTGCTCCAGAAGGCAGTCTGAGGATGTAGGCGTACATCCACCCAGACCCACCGAGATGCAACGGTAAAATTCGGTCGTAAATTACCTGGACGATAACGTCCGACGAGTCCAAGACCTTGTAAAGCTCTCCCCAGATGCGCTTCGACTGGCCTTTCTCGTAAGCTCTCTCCAGCATCTGATGGCAAAACATACAAGGGAGTTGAGCGTTTTATTAACGCATAAGCCCAAAAGCAGAGCGACTATCAAGCCACTAAGTAGCTTATGCACTTACCACGTCCTTTAGCCCTTGAAGCTCGCTGCTCGGGCCAATGGATGCCTTTCCTTCATCATATCTGCAGACAGCAGCGGCAATGTATTTGTTATATGATTCATTGTAATGTATTAGTAATGAAGCCGGTAAATAACAACTTAAAAAGCAGTTGTAGCTACAGCAGCTACTGCACGTACTATAAAGGCCTACCGTTCGCCCTTGTCACCCACAGTCTGGACGAGATCTTCAAGGCTCTCCACAGCAAGCTTGGGCTTCTTGCGCTGCTTCTTAGGGCCGAAAGTGTCAGCGAATGGCTGCGTCGCCAGCAGGCTCGCACGCGCCTGCTTGCCAGAGCCCTTCTTCTCCGGGTCCTCTAAAAGCTGCAATGGAAGCTTCTTCTCGCGTAGAAGGACTGTATAGGCATCGTTGACCTTGCTAGACATTTCGGTGCGAAACTGCTCCAGCTGTTTCTGGCCGATGACGCGTGTATTTCCAAACCAGCGTCGGTCGGGCTGGATACGAGTGCTGGGAAGCTCTTTCGATTGCAGCTCCTGTGCAGATGGAAATCATACAAAACCAGTGTTCAGCATTGGATCGCGCGAGGGACTGACGTCAGGAAAGCGAAGAAAAGCTCACATAAGCGAAATGGGCGACAGGCGCCCGCGCACCTGGTACAGTAGCCGGCCGTTCTTATCACGCACCGCCCTCTGCTTATACATTTTGAGGCGGCGAACCTGCGTATTAAATGAAACAAAGTTAGAAGTATTTCGTTGGCGGCGCCTGGCGGCGGAAGCCCAGTTCAATGTCCAGCGCTTTTCGCACCGTGGCTGCATCGCGCATGCCTCCTTTGCCATTGCTAGGCCGATTGACATCGAGGCTATGCTTGGGCTTGCGGTTATCTTCAACACCGCCAACCTTTGCTTTGCCCTTGCCCTTGCCGGCCTTCGTCATTTCTATCAAGTGTCGGGTGACTTAAATTATCCTCTGCACCTCATTGTTGAGTTGCCTGGATTGTAGCCACGAAAGATTGCATGTTTCAAGTCGGAATGCCCATTTTATTAACTCAGCAAGTACGACGTGCCGTGCTTTCAGTCCGGACGCATACAGAAACTGGATGGCTGGATGAAATGGGTTACACCTGTTGCATGGCATGGCAGGCTCTTGTTCATTATCCTTATCCTGTCTTTAAATTGCGTTAGTAGACTCTTTCGTCGACCCAATCCTGCGGAATTCTTGCTGCTAAATGTCTAGTACGGTATAGGCTAAAAGGAGTTGCCGGCCACGTGCTTTTAGAGCGCTGAAGGGTCTCGTGTCCGTATAGGTCCTGCATAGCACAGTTAAGTTGGTATAAGGGAGATGTTCCGCTTAATGTCGCAAGGCAGTCTATCATAAAGTGATTGCTTTCCATTCGATTTATTCCTGCGGCTCGCCTCGGTCCAAGCTAGTGTCAAAAGTCATGTGGGGCCCGCCACCCTCGTCTTCTCCCGTCAATGACTACGAGCCCTTAGGGCCTCTTCTGGCCCCATAGGTTAAATAACGGCTCAGCGAAGATGGGCTGTGCGGTGAGTGCACCACAACATGTGGACAGGCTGCCAATTAGGGCCCACTGCCGGACAGCCTTCTCACGATGCTCAGCCACTGAGCGCGTAAATGGAGATACCTCTGAGAAAAGCATACAGAACCAGACGGAGCAGGGTCATGACGTCGTTCTATGCTACCCCCTGGGAGGTACGTTCTATACGTCCGAGACCGTACATTGAAAGGGTTGCTAGATTGTGAAGCACGCAACCCTGCATGCTACTGTCTACCAGCTTTATACTGGCTAGCCGTGCTCGGGAGCACAGACAAAAACCCATTCCACTGTTAAGTCCGTGCCAAAAGCTCCCACAGCAGCACGGACACTGGCGCCCGCCTTTCCCTACCCGCACACACTCGGGAATTGTCAAATTGCTATGGCAATCACAAATCTTCCATTTCCAATTCCTCAATACAAAGCCTACCCTGCCCGTCTTCTCATGCCTCACGTACGCTTCTGCTCCTTTCCTCTCGTTCCTGTGTCCACATCCCCGCTCTCCTGTCGGATTTCGTCTGGACCGACTTTGGTCGATCCGGTTTACAGGCACCGTGTTCGGCCTGGAGCTCCAGGCCCGCTTTGAAAAAATGGAGTCTGCATCGCTGTGGACACTGGATCATTTCCTGTCCGTGCCGGGAACACCAATCGGAATCTCCAAGTGCGTTTTTGTGGGGAAGGCCTTGTTATGATTATGCATGGGGACAGTCAGCGCGGCCCGTGACCCCAGGCTAGGAATTGCACACGCGTGGCATTGTTTAATGGTGGGAACGGTACATACATAATGCGTCACCCGATACGGCGGGTCTGGGTTGACACTGGGGAGAACGGGGCTGATATCCACTCCCAGCGGGAGCTGCCCAGGTAACCGGCAGTAAAGTGACTGACGTGCGCCTTGCAGGCCCAAGCCTTCCTGTATGGTCCCCGGTGATTTATCTACCCAGGTCCCGTTCTTCTCAATCCAATCTACCCGCCTGCACACCTGCCATCCGGACAGTTCCATAAACCTAATTTGCTAGTAGCTTTAAGGCAAGCAAGCTAGCTACGGTGCTGCGTGCATGTGCAGGTCCATGTCCGGGGGTTCAAGGAACTCCGGTAGTGCGAAACCTGCTCTGGAGATCAAGCCCGCTCCCGAGGCAGCAGCGGCCGCCATGACATCCAGCGCGGCGCTATCCCGGGAGATCCGCATGTGCCGCCGCGGGGTGGTAGTGCTGGTGACGGCAGGTGGAAGAAGAGGCTGGGTGCAGGGGAAGGTTGTGGATGATGGGCGGGTAAAGGGGCTTGCGTGGCGCAGGAGGAAGAGGGCTGCTTGCGTCCAAGCAGCCGCATGTCCGCAGACAGCCTTACGTGGCTTATGCATCTTTGTAAAATATTACAAGACTGCATACTTGACCCAGTCCCAGCATTCGCGTTAGTCGTTCCCGGACCCTTTTCGTGGTTCTCCTTCCCTATGGCCATATATTCTCTGTTATGTCATCCACAGCTGAGTTGAATCGCGAGCGGCTATGATGCTGCGCACAGGCGAACTGCAACGCTCAAATGGTCTCTCCTCATGTCCCAGCCCTCCGCATTGCCCTGATCCTTCAGGCTCCACCTGGGACGACGACGTCCTCAACTGCTTGCGGCTGACAGGCAAGTTCCTGCGGCCCCTGGTGATGGTACATTGCGTGCAGAGCTGCCCGCTGCCAGCATTGGAGGAATGGGCGCAAGACGTCAGGCCGCTCATCGCAGCATCGGGGCCGCCTATTAAATACCTGTCCCAACACTCGACTGAGGCGCTTCACGAAGTAGAGCACCGGATGCTGATGGCGGCAGAGGCCCTTGCTAGTGCGAAAGCGGCAGCAACGGCGGCAGTTAGCAAGCAACAGGCACACCCGGAGGCGAAGAAGCCAGCTAGCCAGCCCCAGACACCGCCGCCGTCGGCAGCTGCGGAGGGCCGCAACGGCAGCTGCTTGGATGGCGCCATGTGGGCTCTACCGGTGCCGTCACGGCCGCCACTACTGTCGCCACAGCAGCAGCAGCAGACGGTGCAGTCAATATCGCAGCCAGTTGGAGCTGCTGTTGCCATCAGTGTTGCTGCCCCGTCGCTTGACGCCTCGTCGTGCTCAGCCCGCGTTCCAAGCCCTTCTCCATTTTCCTTAATGGCACTGCAGGCGTCTGACTCAGATATCTGTCGGCGGGTATCACAGCTCCTGGGCCCATGGACCTGCGCCGGCACCGCAGGGACTGGCGTTGCCGGCTGCAGTACTACCCCAGTGGAGACGCTCGTGGTGTCACCCCCTCCCGCTTGTAGCGGTACAACGGCGGAGAGGACGGCTCTGCACCAGCAGCTGAGGTCGCCGCCGGGATCTGCCGTTAGGCAACAGCAGCACCAACGCCACCCCTCATGCCAGTGGCAAGAAACTAGCGGCAGCGCTCCGGAGCCGGGTTGCACAACGGAGGATGGCGGACCCGGTGCCGCCACCGGCTGCGTCTCCGAGACTCGCTGCGTCCTGCGGTACAGAGATCAGGGCTGGGCAACGCCGGTGGCATTTGTGTGCGCGCAGCTGGAGAATGAGCTAGGTCGGGCCAACGTTTGTGTGCAGGTGGCGACGCCCGCGTCGGCGGTCACCTCCACGCTATCCTTAAGACGGCAAGCGTCTCCAGGGCTGGCAACGGGCAGTGCCGTGCGGTTGAGCTCGCAGTCGGTAGGCGGTGGAAGCAACAAGTGCCGGCAGCAACAAAGAACGGCATTTGGGACCGTGGTTGCAGCTGTTGCGACGGTGCAGGGCTCCGAGCGCAGTACGGGCGATGGCAGCCGCTGCTGCAGCGGCAGCCCTAGCTGTGGCCAGCGTACTGAGGTTGTGTCCGAGTCAACGTCAAGCGGTACCAGCGGCCGTACCACGCCGCCGATCGCGCGCACGGATGACGACCTGGAACCGTTTACAAGTCCGTCGGTATACGACTGCACCACGCCGCTGCCAGAAGCAGCCATGGCAACGGGCTCCTCCTCCAGTAATGAGCGATGGCCAATCGGTGAGGTTGGAAACGGTTCAGCGGCGCCGCCAGACCTGCGACCGCGGGACGAGGATCCGGAGCAGCGTCAGCCGCAAGGCACCAGCGAGCATGGCGGTGACGGCGGAGCTGGAGCTGCTGCGTGCCTGGTTTATTTTGTGACGCCGGGGTTGTTGGCACCGTTACGTTGCCTGGCCGATGTGGGGGAAGGTCTGGCGCAGGGCCGCCGGATACTGATAGTGGTGCATGGAGAGTGCAGCCAGCGGCTGCAGGACTATGCCCCCGCAGGGATGACGCCAGAGGCGTGGAAGGTGAGTCCGTGGGACGGGGGAAAGCAGGACGTTCAATGTCCCGTTTTCACCAGCCTATCCACCAGGCATCCCACCGTGAATAACGGGACATTGATCCAATGCCTGGCGCCGGTGAGCAGTCCTGTTAAAACACACTCCGATGTGCAGCTTGCACACATGCCGCATGCTGTGCCGCATGTATGCAACATGGGTTTTCACATCGTTACATGGTCCTGTCATTGCGCGACTGGGTTCAGCATTGGCTCAAGCCTGTGGTTCGTGGGTATGCACAGCTTCAGTCCACCCACGACTGGGTTTCGAACCGTGAAAACCTTGAAAGGGGAGGAGCCCGGCTGGGGGCCAATGCGCAGGAATTGGGCTGCTGCCAGGGCTGGTCTGTCAAGGGCGGCTGCTGCCATGCTTCGCAGCTTTCCCTGGCTTGTGCGTCAAGGTCATCAATATTCATGTGAACCACATCTAAACGTCGCCCGTCCTGGAGTCGTGTTTTGGTGGAGGAACGGAAAGCCATGCATCATCCATGACGTTGCGTGCATAGATGCCGTAGGAAATAGCCTTGCACACCCCGCCTCCTATCCACCTCCCTGTCGCAACCCCAACCTCTAATCTACCTTCAGAGCATCAGGCGGCTGTGGCACCAGCGGCTGATATACGTCCCAGACTACCACATACCATTCTGTGCGCTGCTGAAGCAGGGCATCACCGACGACCACCGTGCAACCCCACCGACGTGAGAGGGCGAGCGTTATACAGAGAAAGCAGGATGAGATTAGGATGTGCACTGGCGGCACTGCAGGTTCTGTTCTGTATTATACGATGGTACTTTCGTAGTCCCAACGCGAGCAGGTGTATTTTTGAAACAATAGACGCAGGACATCATGGCAGAGCGGCTGTGATTGGGAATGCATGGTGGGCCACGGTGTTTAGCCTCGCCTGGTTGTCTGGGCGAGAATTTGCACATCACACATTCATCGGCGTCATAGTATATGAACTTTAAAGAGCAGGAAGTTTCATGGTGACCATTGTTGTCCATGCCAGCGATACGTGCCATATTTGCAATACGCGATCATTCTTGCAATCAGCATTGGTACGCACATGTTCGTTTTATTGTACCCATGCCCATACGATCCTTCTCGTGCCACCTCATGTACTGAAATAACGTGCCATAGGACCATTTATTACGTTACAGATGGCTTCGCCATCGAAAATTTTCCTCGACAGGTCGCGTAGCGCACAATGCACGCTCCCCTTGCACGGCAGCCGTGGCGCAAAAGCGGAGCCCATGTAATTGTACTTCTACCTTCCCCGCTCGATACGGTGCAATACATATTTGAGGGCACACTGCCAATGTACTTACTACTAAGACGCTTGCGGCCACACTCACCAAATGCCCTGACTGGCTGAACCAACAATGTACATGCGCTCGAACACAAAACGTTGGTGAAACAATGAAAGAAACTGCTGCATACAGAAGAACCTCTCTCTCTCCATAGGGCACATAGCATGCGGCTATGTGCCCCACATTTGCTGTTCAATTACTCGATACCACCCTCATGTACACGCTGTAGACCAACCAGCACACGTCCCGAGAACAACGCAACGAACACAAACGCAACACAGATCTCCGCTCGACTGTTGACACTCGCTCTAGCAAACGCTCAATATAATATGCCCTGCTCTGGTGTTCTGTGCACGTACAACTCCGTAGCAAGGCACCAGCACCTGACGTAACGATGTCACTCATCTCATCGCCCAGTGCCACTGCCGGGCTCCATTGCCAGGTAAGCAAAACTCCGGCTGCACTACCGCCAGGGTCGATAATGCTGCCGCTGCTTTACACTTTAGCACATTGCGCCACTCGACCTTTCGTTCTGCGATGCCGCGTTTCAACAACCTGAAATGTGGATCGTGCATTTGATAAAAACAGGATAGCAACATAATAGCCCGGCCCGCAAATCAAATGTCATGGCCACGCCACCGCAAGCAAGCGCTAACGCCGGCAGTGCGCAGGACGGCACCGACGACGCATCCTTCCATGGCACGATGCCACCCCTGCTAATGCCGATGCCACGCGACAAGTTGAGGTCCGTTTGCCATGCCCACCAGCACAACGTTTGGACGCTGCATGATCAGCTAATGGTCGCCGGGGACAGAACTCATCCGATCCCATCACTATCTCCCTCTTCCGCCATCACCTTTGCTTCCCCTTTGTAACACGAGCCCGGGCCCCATCCGCAACCATTGAATACCAACGGCCGCAGCCCCAGCTAAAAAGTAGCGACAAGACAGGGTCACTCAGCCCATATGAGATTCTTGAGGATGGACTGCCCACTGGTAGCTTCCAGAACCAAGATCACAATGATGGCAAGCATGGCGATGCGGCCGTTCCACGTCTCCGCACTCTTGGTCCAGCCCCACTCCCACATCACCACTGGAGAAGGCAGCGCGCGGCGCTCACGGTCATAAGCCTGTAGCAACATCTCCAAGTCGCCTGCAGAGCGATGGACGTGGGGAAAGACAGTGTCCTCATCAGTGTCCCTTATACTTACTTCTGTGCGGTGCCCTATACGTTGTAATGTTAATATGCGATATATTCAAGGAGGCCACAGAACAGGGACCTTTGCAAGGGGAGTAACACGGCGACGAGTTCCCCCCAAAACAATTCAACTCGGCAGTTCTTGGACATGAACACAAGGATGCGCACGCGCACTCAGCGCTGACTCGAACCCTACTACTCGAGCTGACCCACCCCACCAAGCAACCCTCCCACCCACCCAGAGGCACCAGCGAATCAGTGGGACCCGCCAGACATCCCACATATGGCAGCGCCTCCAGTACCGCGTCCGCCAGGTCGTCAATGAAGGCGGCGTTTGTATTCAGTGCGGGCACACGGCCCCAGTTTCGGATGCCGCTACCCTCCGCGAGTTCGCGGTACTCCATGTCAATCTCCTCCAGTGTCTCAATGTGCTCAGAAACAAAGGAAATGGGCACCGCCAACAAGCTCTTGACACCCCGACGACCCAGCTCCCTATTCATGACAATGCCATGGGGGAGAGTTGCCCAGAAGACAATGAAGATGCATTACGCGCGGAAGGGGGACGTAGAATGAATTGCAAGGAACACATCGATTGCAGACTTCCACGTGGAAAAGTAGCACACAATTTGGTAGGTAGACAACTAGGAAAGCAATAACGGCATGTAGAAATCCAGCACAGACAAGGTATTATCAGAGAAAATGTTGTGGTCGCGCAAAGTGACTTGCAAAGCTCTGAGCAACATGACAATTGTTGCGCAAGGAAGCCACTAGCCATCCAGTGCCGATCAGGTGCTGTCAAGGGGAAACCGATGCATGCGAGGCTGCCTAGCCCTCGCCAACGAACGACACCGAGGCACTTTCCACCTATTCACTCGGCGCCACAACCCCTATTCCCTGAGACCTGGGCCACAGCAGACAGCTCACGGGTCGTACAACGACGAAAAGCAATCCGACTCGCGCAGTACATCACCATATGATACCTGCACTTACACGCCAAGAGCTTGCCAACCATGAAAAACACACAATCCCTTCAGACCTGTCTGCTTGCGTGCAGAACACGCGAAACCTTAATGCCCCATAAATTTAAGCTAGCTGCCCTGGCTGATCCCCTGTCCTCAAAGGAAACCCCTTTGCAACATCAGGTTAAGAGAAAGCGCTTTTCGCTGAAGTATCATTTGTCCTCTCGCCTTTCTTGAACTGCCCCACGTCGTGCTCCTCCCACAAGCATCAGTCCCCCTCGTAATCCGCACCTTCCCTGGGCCTTTCCTCCCGCCCATGTACCCGGCGTTTTTGCAAGTCGTCCGCGGTGGAGAACGCATGCCGACCCTATGCGGCCGTCCCGCCCTGCCTTGTCCCATCCTCCCATCACATCCGCCCAACCGCCCCATCCCCGGTTTATATTGTACCCCCACCGCTCCTCCCACCTGATCGACTCGTCCGTATACGGCTTGAGCCATTCTGCCGGCCCCACTCGGCTTTGGTACGCCAAGGTGTGCGAGTTGTTAAAGCCCCTCGCGCGAACCTCCTCCATGATCAGCCGCACACACTCCTCCATTTCCTCTTTGTACGGGTCGCCCGCCTCCTCGACATATGACTTGGGTACACCGTGCGCCGAGAAGAACAACTCCACGCTAGGCACGTCCTGGAACTTGCCCAGCTCCTACACATGCCAAGACATAGACAACCAAGGTGACCATGGGCGGATGGGAAGGGCATGACGATACCCGCGAGGGGGATGATCTGGAGGTTAAGAAATAAAGTCTTGTGCCAAGGGGACGGATAACGGACATGCAGAGCGTACAGGGTGACAGGAGGTTGGGATGTGCGCTGTGAGTTCGTTGACAACCCAGACAGGACCTCGCACGGACACACAGACATAAGGAGAAGAGCCTTAGGATTTGGGACTCATTATGTGTAGACGAGCGTACAGGTGTCCAGGAGATGCCAGGGCAACAGACCAGTGCCTCCCTACCCGGCTTTCCATTCACTAACCGCCTATCGAAGGGCGTACCCACACACGCCGTACGGCCACGGAGGCTGTTGCAAAGGTTTAGATGTGGGGGGCTATATGCTATGCAAGAAATTGGCCGCCTCTGCCCTAAGCGGTGGCCATGTGTAACATGCAGGGCAAACCTGCGACCACCCCAGCACGTTCCATGCGGTAAGACTTAACAAGCGATGTGCGAACAGTCCATTAAACTGGTCTGTAAACCCAAGGAGTTCGCTAATCCACTAAGACCAGGGCTCGTGCACGCTTAAACGGTCAACGCAGACCAGACGGCCAGGCATGTAACTATGCGTGTAAATATCAACACGCACCTGCACGATGAGGTCAGCCATGGCGCACACATATCCCCTCCGTTGGTACCATGAGGGGATCACCGTGTGGCGCAGCTGCTTCAAAGCCCGGTCGCTCTTAAAGAGGGACTCAAGCAGCCGCAAGCTGGACCCGCTGGTGCTGATGGAAAATTGCGGATACAGGGGAAGAATTACCAAACGTGTGACTCCATCACGCTTGATGTGCTCCAGTGCCTCTTCCGTATACGGGTGCCAATAGCGCATGCCGACGTAAACATTTGCTGCCTGGCCTTTAGCTTTCAGGGCATCCGCAAGCGCGTTCGCCTGATCATCTGTAATTCTTCGTAAGGGGCTTCCACCGCCGATCGCCTTGTAGCCTTCGGCGCTCTTCGGTGCCCGCAACGTAGAGATGATTGTTGCAAGGAAAGGCTGGAGAAACTGCACCACTTGCGGAAGCCGAATAATCTCTGGGTCGGCAAACAAATTAAATAGAAAGGGCTTCACGTCGTTCAACGTCTCCGGACCTCCAAGATTGAGCAGCAGAACCCCGACCTTGTCGACTGCAGGCGGGGCAGCTGCAGCCTGACGCCCCTTGACATCATGCGAATCGTCAAAGCAAACCACATCAGTCGAGGCAGCGCTGCGCCTGAGGGACACCACGCGTCGTCGCTCGCTGGCGGTGGCCACGCCACGCGCACCATGAACCCGTGTCCGCCTATGTCAGGCAGAACTTAATCATAGCCGTGTGATCTAAAGTTGTAAGTTAATAGCACTATCCTTACCAACAACCCTGGATGGCTGGTGAGCACCTGCTGGAGCAACCCGCGCGCTCCTCTATGTGAGGCGCAGACGCCATTCGCTGGTGAAGCCCAAACGACGCCATCAGAAACTGCAAGTTGAAACTTAATAGTTACGCACAAAATCGAGCACTTCACTCTCCGGCTTAGGCAGCCTGGAGGCTAACCACACTCGGCAAGGGTCATAATATTGTTGAACAGTAATCCACGGGAGACCGCAAGGTTAAATCCAACTGCAACTAAAGGAACTCTTGTTCCCCTTACCAGTTGAAGACTTCAGTATCTAGTGTACTTGGAGTGTGGTGGGACGCCACAAGGACTTCTACGACGCCCGTACTCGTCAATATGGAAGGCAGAAAAAGTTTTGGCGACGATACCCATGCAGTTGTTTTGAGACAATTACGTAGGTGTGCTAGGCACATGGACAACCATTTGCATCGCTTGTTGGCCTGTCTAATTCGCCCTCTTCTGCAGTCATTCTGCTGTAAGCCGGTGACATGTTACAATGCTCTTAAAAGTGTGTTCTCAGATATTAGTGAATATGCCCATTAACTGTGTGGACAAACCTTCGCATCCCCTTTGTTTCGCTCCGCCAAGTGATGCTCTCCTGCGCTAAAAGCTGTACTGGTAGTCCGCAAGTTTATCCAATTACAAGTCTAGCAGATTACTTGTCCATAGCTCAGCTATGTTGTGTCTATTGTTGCTGACAAAGCAGGGAATGCACGCGCAACCCTTGGGCGCCTCTTGGGTTTGTGAGCCTTTCGCCACACATAACGGATTAATCCTTGGCCAAACCCAGAACCAAGTCAAACCAAACAACGCACCATCGCGCCGATTAATCCGTCCCATCCCGTCCGACACATACGGCCTCTGTCCCCCACCTTCCCTACCTGCCATGTCCATAATTACATTTTATAATACCCACCATCACTTTGCTCACCGGACTCGCAGGGACAAAGAGGTACACTATCATGGCAGCACCCGTGGCAGCCGCAACCCCGCTGAAACGCCAACCCCCCTCCCCTGGTCCCTCACTCCGAGTCGGTGTGTGAGAGGGTGGCGTATCCTCCCGCCTCTAACTGGTCCACCAAACCCATGTCACCGGTCTTGACAATCTCACCCGCCTGGTAGGAGGGGAAAAAGGGAAAGGCAAAGGGGTATAGGATACCGAGCAGGTGGGGGGAGATTCTCTATGGCGCAGGGGGAATCCCACAAGGCAATATGCACATGTTGATAGGGATGCCCAACCAACAACAGCGGCCAAGCTATCAGATTGATAAGTGTGAGAGGACGGCGCTGTCATGGGGCGGCGGTTGACCGGCCTCTGCACGCCCCTACCTGCATGATGTGTACGAAGTCCGGCTTGATGTAGTCTAATAGCCTCTGTTATGAGGCAGGGGGGGCAGGGGGGAAGAGGTGAGCGCGGACAAGGTGGAGGGCCGCGGGGTGGTACCGGGGCAGGGTTTGGTACTCTCCTCGCCTTCCTCAACGGGTGTGAGCCTTCCGAACTCCCGTATCCGTCCCACTCCCATATCCGGCAACGGCCACCCAAACTGAAGTTAGTAAACTTTGAACCATTCCCTGCTTAACGGCATCTAACTTTTTTCCGCTCGTGTCAGGTTCGATCCCTCCTGACCCCCTCCTGGTGCCCCGGAACAACCCCCACTAATGCCCGGCCGCCCCTCTCACAACAGCTAAGTCCAGTTAGAGCATGGCTGTAAAATCACACCCTCATCTACCTTGTAGTGTGTAACCATGAGCACCCCGGTGTCTTCGTTCTTGAGCTGGTTCACCGCCTTAGCCACATCTCGCAGCGCGTCAATGTCCAGCCCGCTGTCAATTTCGTCCAAGATGGCCATGTCGGCCTGAGGGAGTGCGGAGGGCGAGGTGTTGCCCAGGTGACCCAATAGCCCCGGGAGGCCCAGGGCGGGAGAGACGGAGGGAGGGAGGTTCACAACTGAAGGGACCCAACACGTAAAAGGAGGAAGTAGAGCTGAACATGCGAACTGACCAAACATGGCAGGAAAAGAGTAAGTGCTGTGGGTGTCGAGGTGGGCTGTAGGCTGGGATTCGCACAGGAAGGGAGCGACCTGGACGACAGCAGCAGCAGCAGCAGCAGCAGCAGCAGCGGTTCCAGAGGTTTCAGGTGGTATGGGGGTGCTGCTGCACGAGCTGCTGCACGAGGTGATGTGCCACGATGTTAACCTGCATCAAGCAATCCGAGTACCCCATCCATTCTAGGACCCACCTCCAGCACGGCCAGCTGCAGGATCTCGTTGCGCTTCTTCTCGCCGCCTGAAAAGCCCTCGTTAACGTTGCGGTTCAGAAAGGTGGGGTCCATGTTGAGCATCTCCAGCTGCGGCGAGACAGCAGGAACAATAACTTTGCTTTCGGGGCAACGCAACGTAATGGGGCACCTGACCGGCGGGAAGATTTTGGAGCTTGCGTGCGGGTTGGGTTGAGCGAAGGTACAGGCCCCGCTGCCCACCGTACCTTTGGCATGATGTAGGCATAGAACTCCAAGGGATCGAGCTCGGATTGCCCCAGAGCTTTACGGCGAGCGTTGCAGGCCATCCGAAGGAAGTCCACATTACTGACACCAGGCACCTCGATGGGGGTTTGGAAGCTAAGAAATAATCCAGCGTGTGATCGCTCCTCGGGCTCCAGCTCAAAAAGATCTTTGCCTTTAAACGTGGCTGTGCCACCCGTCACCTCATAGTCGGGATGGCCCACCAGCACCTTGCTGAGCGTACTCTTGCCCGAGCCATTCTTTCCCATAATTGCGTGCACCTCTCCATTGCGAATTGTCAAATTGACGCCCTTGAGAATTGGCTGACCCGTCGCTGCAATTTTTGCTTCAAGATTCTTCACCTCAAGCATCACCTCACCCGGCGCAGCCACGCAAAACAGAGGCTGAGCGATTCGACGACTTCTACACGCACCAGCGCGCGGCCAAATGCTAGATGCCAGTGAGCTGCGGGTAAGCACTTGGTGCGCCATCGCGGCCGACCTGCGTGGTAGAGTTTGATTACAGATTGAAAACCCCGTCAAGATAGAAGAATTAAAAGATGTATTAACCCAAACGCCAAGACACTCAGACGGTCAAGGAAATAGATCATGGAACTGTTGGCCCAACTGCACGACTCCCAACGGTCTGCCTATTTCCATGATAGTTTCCTACAGGCGAGTAAAGATGGGTTCATATACAGCGAGATCTCCCCTTCACGAACAATTTTTTTTCTGTATTTTACCCTCGCACCTGTTAGCCGTAAAATGCATGCTGAACCTCAAAAGGATGATCGACTTATTGTTTACCTTCAATTTGTAAGTATATGATTATCTGCCTCTCTTGTCGACGATGTATAGGGTATAGAGTGAAAGATCCCGGACTGCGGCGTGCCCCTACATCAGCTCAGTCATAGCTGATATAACATTTACAGGGTCTGCTATAATGGGGCCAATTAGAATACCCAGCCGGGACCTCGTTGGGCAGGTTACAACGATTCTTCGCCAACAACTCAATAGGGGAAGTATGGGTTGTCCTCCGGGGTGACCTTAACCTGGTACGTACATGCCCGGCAACTCCGAATCCCTTAGTTACTACCGCTCATAGCGTTCCCATGTCATTACCGCAAGCACCCTTCCGACGTCCCTGTCCATGTGCATCTCCCCCAAGGCACGAATCCGTGGCCCAAACCCTCTAGGGGAACATTTTGACGGTTGACACGGCGCCCCCTACACACACAGCGGTTTGCAGCTCAGCAACTATTCTGTAGAAGGGAAGCTGCACGGACAACCACCTAAGATAGCTAAAATCTTGCCTTGCCTTCGCCCGCAGCACAACAAGAAGCGTCCCACCTAGTCCTGTCAACCTGCACACGTACGAGATCCATTATTCATCTCCTCCCTCAATTATTCCCTTGACACGCTGCTGCACACACCGGCTACTGCTATTATCATGACGTCGCAGCCAACATCGCATTCCAATTTTGACTGCTGCTGCCGCTGATGGATTTATTGCTGCTATTGCTACCGAAGCGACTGCGGCTGCTGCTGCTGCTGTTGTTGCGGCTGTAGCGCGGCTTTGACAGCCTGACGCTGTTCGGGAGTTAGGGTCCGCGGGAAGTCCAGCTTGTACTGCACCACCTGAGGGACTCCCAGGGGAGAGGAGCAGTGTCATATCTCCGGTGTAGAAACGGATGGAAATGGGAGGGGAGGGGGAGCTGAAAGCCGTGTGGCGGTGGTGGGGACAAAAAGGGGTAGGAGCCCAGCTGGAGGTCTGCCGCCCCAGCCGTAGCCAGGGGTTCTGGCTTCTGCTCACACGTCCCACCGCATACATCTCTCCTGCCACTTACACCACCCGCTCAGTCACCCGCTCTAGCAGCTCTCGCAGGGATCCCCTCTTCCATTCCCCTCCCCTGCCACTCCCTCCGCCAGTTTATCAAGCAAACCCCCATATGCTGATGGTCCGCCCATGCTTCCCAGTACAGTTCTATTCCTACCCGCCCAAGTTCGCCACCCGTCTGTCTGTCCGTCTGTCCACCGGTCTGCAATCGGCCTGTTCCCACGTCCCTAATCTCTGGTCTCATTGAACAGCAGATGGAAGTCACTGGGGGGAGCCCCAGCCCCCTCCCTCGGCATCCCCTAGGGCTGCTCCTCGGGCCCCCCGGGTGCGATTACGTTCGCGAATAAGTACCCCCCCCCTGAGGAGATCAGCAGCAAGAAGGAGTCCTAACTTCCACCTGCTCGCACCGGTTCTTCCTAACCACCACCCTAGCACCACCACGCAACGGTATTCCAGGGAGGTGTGCAGCCCACCACCCGACCTCCACTGGGTCCCCTCCCCAACGGCCTGTCCCCTATCGGACGTTGACCCTTTGCCTCCCACCCCAGCCGGTGTCGAGGTCGCATCCGTAACAGTGTCTCTCGTCACTAGCTGCAAATAGTGCCGTACGTACCATGTTCCCCCTCTCCTCGGGTTGCTCCGGAATCGGCATACCCTCGCCTATCAGAATGGTCTCACTGTCCGGGGTGATAATGTCGGACAGCCCCAGGGGGACCTACGAGTAGGGGGGAAAGGGGCAGGAGGAGAAGGCGGAGGGTAGGGAACATCGGAACCCTAACATGGGGACGGTGCGGAGACGGGGAGACTGAGTGCAAAATGCAGATGTCCAACGGCTGACGTCGCGGAACCACCGGGGGTTGGTGCAAGAGGAAGCGAAGGACAAACAGCCGAGACGTCCAAAACCGCAAACTTGGAGTTCAAAGCCATGGCGCAACTGCTCTGTGCACTTTTGCGCGTCGTATAGTCGTCCTGAGCGTCTGGATGGATGTCCTCACTCGCACTCGCACAGGGCCCACGCCGAGGATGGCACGAGCGCCGCAAGCGGCTACAGCGGGCTGATAAGGACTGGAAGGATAATGGCCCTTCCAGCACCCAGGAAAGGGCCCCTCTTAAACGCGGTGATTTGCCCTCACGCCGCAATGTGCGGCTGTGCTGCTGTTCCCCCCTGGAGGCGCATGTACCCCGTCCTCCTGTGGCCGTGGCCAGTTACCGTGTCGTACACGTTTAAGATGCAGACCAACACCACGTTCACACGCTCTCCCCCAACCCTCTCCGCCCGGCGCCTCCCCCCCGGCCCCCCCCCCCCTGCGTGCCTTGGTTCCGTCCAACCTCCTGAGGTGAACCGTACCACCGCCCAGCGCCATGGATAGCGGAATAATCGCCTGCAGCCAGCCGTACACACTAGTCGTACCGCAGTTTTCTGGTCATGGTTTAGCATGCGGTGAAAGGATAGGGAGGGGGGTTCAGAGCCGGGGGGAATCAGGGGGAGTAACTCTTGGGACTCCGTTGTGGGCCCCGTAAAGGCACAGTAGTCCAAAGAGAGGCCATTGCGGGTTCGAGTAGAAACCTCATCCTTTAGCAAATGTGTGAAGGATTGTGTGTATACAAAATGTAGCTTACCTTGGTGATTAAGTCGTCGCCTCGCCGCACATACCGCGCATTGGGCACCTCCCTCAGCACCAGCACCAAATCCCGGCTGCCCGGTGAAAATCCAGATCCACATCCAGCTCCAGGATACGCTGTTGCACGGGGCCCCCCGCCTGCAGCTGTAGCTACTTGCTCTCGGGCTGGCGGCAGCTCATCTCCCAATCCTGACAACATGGGCGCGGGGAGCAGTAGCAGCATTCTGAGCGGCGCTAAGACAAACGGACAAAAGTACTCCAAACGCGGGGCCCACCCTAAGGGTCCCGAAGGGGAGCTGCGCCCCGGGTGTACACACACAGATGTGCGCGGAGTGGTGAAGAGACACTAACCACTTGGCGTGGTGCGCACCGAGCTCAGACCGAGCTGGGTAAGGAGCTGCTCCTCACCTCGGCCCCTGCCTCATTCAGCGGGGACCGAGAACGACATGGGAGATGTCCCCGATGGGGACAACCGATGTACGGGTAACCCCCGTGCCCCCGTGCCCCCTACTCCCTTCTCCAATTCCCCAGCTCAAACAAACTGCCGCACATCCGCTACACTTACTGAGACTCCACTCGCTCGACCTCTCCCCCCCCGACCTCCCCACACGGCATAGCGCACCCTCACATTAACCCCCCTTCACGTAGCCCTACCGTGGCCCGCTCCCTCCTCACCCCTGAACAGCAGTTTGGTTCCCGCCCTGGCCCCGCGGGGTATCACCACATCCAGCACGTGGTCCCTGGGAAGCCACCGGCCGCTGGGGGCGTCCCTGAGGGGGGACGGGCAGGGGGGAGGGAGAGGGGCTGTGGGTGGCGCTTGTGTGTGGAATTGCGCGCCGGGTGGCCCCCGAGGAGGAGGAAGAGGAAGAGGAGGAGGACTGCCGGTGGGGGTATGTCGCATGTGGGCAACTCCAGGGAGGGGGAACAGCAGCAGCAATAGGAGGTGCTGATGGCGGGTAAGAACACAGCCGTCGCAGCAGGTCGCACAGCCGGTCATCCAACACGACGAATGCTACTGCTGCTGCTACTACCGGTGGGGTAACCTCAGCAGTCATCTTGATTGGTGTAACGTCGTGGGGTAACAGACGCCGGAGCACCTCTCCGCCCCACCACCCTTCATTGGCCGCTACCGCTACCTCCGCTACTGTCCCCGCCACTACTACCGCCACTTACCACACGGCCCGACGCAGTTGCACCTGCCGGGTAGCCCCGCTGGTAGATGTGGAGGGAGGAGGGGAGGGGAGGGGAGGGGAGGGGCCGCACCGAGGGCTGCTTGCGTGTGGCTGCGGTGTGTGTGTGTGTATGTATGTGTGTGTGTGATGTGTGTGTATATCAGGGCAATGAAGGCAACGCGAGAGAAGCGAATGAGGGCCGTGTGGGGTCGCGATAGGGCCCCGGACAACCGCGTGCGGTGGAGAGGAAGGTGGCGTTGCATGGGGGAATGGAGGGAACGTACCCCCCGCTGCTTAGCAAGCAGATGAATAGCAAGCTGACAAGCCAGGGCGCTGGAGGTCCTCGTATACGGCAGGGACTCTTCCGCTGCTGCACACACACACACACGCATATATATAGGTCAGGGAACCACGGGGCCTCCAGATGCCGCGGCGCCCTTTCCCCCGGCCTTCCACCCCTAGGTCCCGCAGGATACGCGGTGACATTAACCGCTAGGCGAGCTTCATAACCAGCAGGCACAGGCTGGAGAGAATCTGCACACTAAGAGGTAGCACCCTCCCCAAAGCTGACCTGGACACACACACATACGTACAAACAAACACTCCCTGTAGCTCAGTTAATTCCCCCACCCCTCCCGCACCCCACCAGTACAGCTCCTCCAGGGTCACTTCCAAATCCAACTCAGTGGGAGGAACCGCTGTAGCCGCCGCCGTCGTCGCCGCTGCCGGAACCGTCGTCGCCGCTGCAGGGCCGTTGGCCGGCCCGGGCCCCGGCGCTGCGGCGCCCTCATCGCCCTCACCGCCCTCACCGCCCTCACCGCCCTCACCGCCCTCACCGCCGTTCTTCTTTGAGCTGCTGCTACTGCTGTTGGTAATACTTCTGCCGCTGTGGTCGCTGTCAGTCCTGCTGGCAGTGCTGTTCGGGCTGCTGCCGTTGCGGCTCTGATTCGTGGAGGAGTCGGACAAGTCGATATCCATGGGCTCCCAGCTGGGAGCTCCGCGAGCGGACATGGGAACGTATCCAGTAGCGCCGCCGCCGCCGCCGCCGCCGCCGGGCGCGCCGTCATCGGTCCTTGGTACGGCACGGCCTGCGGGACCGCCGAAGGGGCTCTCCATGGCGAAAGTCCGTGCGGCAGCAGCAGCGGCGCCGCCATCGATGTCCCCTGACGAAGCCTGAGGCCCGTACGGCTCCAACCCCGCGCCATATCGTCGTATCGGTGATGCTTGTGCGGGTTTCGCCGGTGCGACGGCTGGCTTTGGGGCTGCTGGTCGGGGCTGAGAGTCGTGTGCTGGTGTGGTTTCTTCTGGTGTTGCTGTGGTGCGTGGTGATGCCGTGGGTCGGGCGGGGGACGGGGGCTGAGAATGGGGTGGGGATCGTAACACGTCCATGGGGAGCCGTACAAACGGCGAGACTTATCCTGGATCGCCTTGCCTCATCTGCCAACTTCCCTAAGCCTCATTCCTATGCGGGGGCCGCACCTCAGCCAGCCTGATGGCGACTAGCGTCCAAAACCCATCGGCACCACGTCAGTGGAATCTAAACTAACTAACTGAATAAACCGAAAGGGCGGTTTGCAGCTACGGAATGGACGCATCTTTCAACACACGCACGCGATGCTCCTTTCCAAACACACACATACATGCATACAAACATACATACATACGCCAGCTCCAAATGGAACTATGCAATGCAACATACACTCGAAAGTATCGAGTTTGGAGCGTGTCGGCAACTTGCGCCCGCATCCCTTTCCAACGACCCACGGGACAATCCAATAACAACCCCCCTGCAAGGCCCTGACAGGAGCAGTGGCGCGAGAGGGCCTCACGTAAGTGATTCGACTCCTGGAGATAATCCGTTCTCGCTGGGTCGTACGACAGGGCAAGACACAAGACTCCTTACCGAGGATGTGCTCAAGGCCTTGCATGACCCCGGGGCACTCTACGGCATTATTAGTTTTTGCTTTATCTGAACGACTTCCTGGCTAAATAATAAGGCCCTTGGTCCTCAACCAAATTCTACCTACAACGGCTTTTCTTAACCGCCGACGGCTTCCGTGCAGCCAGCACCTTCTGCCTTATAGGATGCCCCCAGGTGTCATTGTTATTGTCGTTGACATGTACGCGTGTGTTGCCGATGCCGCTTAGTGCTCACCCGAATCTGTGTTGGCGTAGCGCACGGGTATCGTTCGGGGCACACGATGTGGTTGCGGTGGGGGTTGTGGCGAGAACCCCGCCGCTGGCCCCGGAGGAGCGGACGGCTGCGGCTGCTGTGCTGGCGGCCGCCCAAAGCCCGCCTCCGCCGCCGTCGGGTGCTGCTGCGACTGCGGCTGTTGGTACGGGGCGCGCGGCTGTGCAGCCGATGGCTGCGGCCGTTGTGGTGTTGGAGCTTGTCGTTGTGGCTGGGGCTGCGGCGGGGCTTGCGACCTCACGCCGCCAGCTCCAACGCCATTATGTCCGGCACCACCACCACCACCACCACCACCGCAGCCGCCAAAACCGAAGCTACCGTTCATGCCGCCGCCGCTGCCGTAGCCACTGGCTGCGGCGCCCCTGCCGCCTCCACCAGCTGGTCCGGCGGCGGCAGCCCCCATAGGGCCCACGTAGCGTCCGGCGGGGCCGCTAAAGAGGCCCGTGGGACCCAGTCCCGCGGCCAGTCCGCCCATACCCATAGGGCCCATGCCACCGAATACCTGCTGGAACAGGCGGTCCGCCAGAGGAATACCCGTGGAGCCGCTGAACAAGCCTCCGCCGCCGCCTCCGCCGCCGTTGAAGAAGCCGCCGCCGGTAAAGTTGCCCCGGCCGAAGCCTCCCAGCCCTGCACCACCGCCACCACCGAAGCCACCGCTGCCAATGTCGAAGTCGTCGTAGGTTGTGGAGTAGGTGCGTGCCGCGGCAGCTAGGAGGATGGAGAAGGGCCATATTTACAGGGAAGGGAATCAGTGGTGGTGATACAACGCACGCGCGCTCCCCCAAGAGCCAATCAAGGAGGTATCTTTTCCATTTCACCGGTCCCCGACTACGCCGAGCAAATAAACGTGCTGCCTGTGCTGCCCCGTCACAACCGCCGTTGCGGCGCCCACCCGTGGCCCGCGGCCCACTGCTCCGGTGGATTCATCACGATTACACCTGTAAGGCCCACCACCCACCGCATCAGTGCCAGGAGTCGTCCAGCGTCCTTCTTTGTAGCACATGTAGATCGCTTCTAACACTTCGTACCGCGACATACTGTGCTCAGCCACGTGTGCATGGAGGCTCCTGAGACCCCTTCCCGCGGCCCACAACCTTCTCCCGTTTACCAGAGCCTATAAACCGAGCCCCTCGCTTCGCTTCCCGTCGTTACTGTCACCACACCTTCACGCAGTCGTACATCGCTGTCGTACGCAGCTCGTTTGTGCGGGTCGCTCAGCACATCGAAGGCCTCCGTCACCTTGCGGCCCGGGGTCGCGGGGGGCGGGGGCCGGGGGGCGGGGGGCGTTAGGGAATGTTGTATGAATGATGGGGAACAAGGGGGGATCAGGAAGGGGCGAAACACGCATGGCGCGTCGGCATCCCTTGCACGCATGCAAAGCACCACGCCCTAGCTTACCCTGAATGTCCCAACGACATACACACACACACACATGTGCTGTCACGCGCACCTTCTTAAATCGCTCCGCCGCCTCCGCCTGCTGTGGGCCCGGGTTCTTATCTGGATGGTGCTGCCGGGCGCACCTGCGAGCGATGAGGCAGCGGTCCTGAGCAGCCGATATCCAACCTGCACCAATGTTTCCATTGCAGCCCCTCAACTGGCCTCTTCAGAAGTTGGAACGCCTCTGTTTGCGCTCCGCTCATTGGTCGCACCCTGGTGCCGGCCGCTGGGTGGCCTCTTTTCATTCATGTTTTAGCTATGACCAAGTTGTGTGAAAATGACAGCACGATTTTTGTGTGGATGAGCTTGTTGCAGTAACCAACGGAAAGTGATTAAGCCGAGCGGGTGAAGCACCGGCAGCGGGGTACCGCAGGTCAGTCAGGTGAGGTGAGGTGAGGACCTCGATCGGACCAACGGGCCCAACCTGTTCAGCGCCCTGGCACCCACCGCCGGTAGGCTTTTTTGATGTCGTTCTCGGATGCGTTGCGCTGCAGCCCCAGGACAGCATAATGGTCGGGATGCTGCGAAGAAGGAAAGCGGGTGGCCATGACTCTCGGTAATGGCGAAAGAGGGAAGGTTTAATTCCGCCGCTGTGGTTCTTCCGGTCCTTGTTCAGCCGCGCGAGGCGGTCTTAGACGCGAGTTCGCCCCTAGGCGTAATAGAAGGAGGAGCGCGACGAAAAAGGGGCACCGCTGAATTGACCAGGGGCTCGCGATTAAAGTGGCTTGGGCGGTATCTTGCAGCAACCGAAGGCAACCATACCTCTCGGCGAAGGAGATCAGTCGGCTGCGTGGGAAAGCGCTAAGATGATCGTCACAGGCCACCAAAAATGGACAGGTTGCAGGTTGATTAGCAAGTGGTTTGTAAATCTTATCTGCATACCTACAAAGGTGCGTCCACTCTTCGGATCGAGCTGGGCGACTTGGGTGAAACCTGGTAAGTTAATCTATGGAAAGACTGCAACAAAGGCATAAGTTCGATAATGAAAATAGCCAGTTTGTTCAGCTTGCTATTTTTGTGTGAGAGGGATAAGCAAAATGTATGCAGCTTCGACCCATGGGTCTGGGTAAATTAGTTGCGATTTACGTCAGCAGCTTAAACAACACAAAGTTTGTTCCCCCAAACCTTATATCAATCCCTAGCCTTGCATATCGTAGGAATATCTTAATGTTTGTGGGAGGAAAAACAATTGTTTAAAGTGTTTCTGCATATATGGTTTTCGGTTATTTTAAATGAGCATGTATTGAAACCTCCGCCATGATGGCCAACCAATGCAGTTACCTAAGCCTTACCAGACCATTTTCGTATTCATACTAGGCAGGAGGGCGCGGGATGCGGAACGAGCGTATGTATCAGCCTGCAAAATTTTAAAGGAGATCGCTACAGTGGACGGCCCGCGGAACTGCGCGGCACTCAAAAAGCTATGGAACCAAAAAATGGAGGCTTGCCGCCCGGACCGAAGAAATGATCATGCTATCCGGCTCACGAACGTCTCTCATGACATCCACTACATGTTAGTTCGCCGACTCAGTGGCCCACCCAAGTTCTGCAGTACAGCGTAGGGAGCGCCAAACAGAATCGGAATAAACAATAGCGTACAGAATTACTATTATTAATACACGCCTTGAAGCACAGAAACAGGACTAATAATGTCGTCATTACGGAACCGCGATACAGGCCTAAAGGTGTCTACTCCATGCACCAAGAAAGCACCGAGCGACAGAAGACAAGCGGGAGGCCGCCGCGGGGTAGAGCCCGGCTTAGCCGGGCAATCAACGCAACACGCACGGCTGCAGCTACGTAAAAAAACTCTCCGCTGTCACCGTCCTGACCCGCTGTGCTTAGACCCCTCCCCGAAACAACACCGTCCTTGCCCACCACCCTTATACAACCTAAACTTCAGCAGGCCGCCTCGCTCCGGGCCCGTCTGACGGACCCGGACTCCACCCTGCCATAGGGCTCGGGAACTGCCACTGCCGATGTGCACGGATGCTTCCCAGGCCTTATCCAAAACCGGCACATGCGCATAGGGGGGGTCCCGGGTGACAATCAGAGCGTCTCTGCTCCCAAGACCAAACCAGGCGGCATGGCGGGGATTCCAGGTCAAGGAAGGACGGCTCTCCAACCAATGTGCACAAGTACTGCGGCAACTCTGTGTACGGGTGGGCATGGGTGCGGGGGAACATGCCGACGATTGACCCAGCAATCGTGCAACATAAAAAACATCCACAGGCACAATGCTCCGACACTGCCCCATTACCATCGTTGTACGTCTCCGTACGCACCTCCTGCCATCGTACACCCCCATGCAAGTTCACTCCATGGCTCCCGCGTCGCGCCGCGTCCTATTTGCCAGCTAATGCTCAGGCAACCCATACGGACTGGGAGACACAGCTCTGCTCTGCAACGTGCTGCCCAACTCCTGCGCCCCTTCTAGCAGCCTTTCTTGCAATCGCCGCATCAGCACCCATCACCATAACCGCCGCAAAAGCTCCGCACATGCCTGCTTTTGCTTCTCTGAACGATGCCTAAAGCCCCGAGCACCAAACAAACAACGCCAGCTTTACAACAAGCCACAACCCCATGGCCCCACACCTCTCTTGTGCAGCTAGTCAATCACCAAGTTTATCGACGCACGAGCTGTTTCCCCTCTTGTCTGCTGGAAACCGGTCCATTAGAATACACAACACTCGAAGGTTGCAAAGACTGCAGTCCGATGCCTGCTACGCCAACGGTCAAAATCCCAATCATTGCCGGGTGTCCCGCATCCTTGCCTTCCTTGGTTCAACGTTTCCCAAACTGATGTACAAACCCTCAGTGGCAACACACCTCTGGGGGAGGGCAATGTCGACAAGGAGAGCTTATTGCAAAACCCATTAATCGCCTTGTGCAAAAAGGCAAACGACCATCACCATCGATCCACCACAGCGCGGCGACAATGCATTCTCATTCACTGGTGGGCTCCAAGTCCGTGCTGACTCTCTTCCGCCCCATCACCCACTGCAACGCAGCTCCCCTTCTGACCCTATTACCGCGTCTTAGCTTGTGAGTCCTCACGTAGCGTGCAGGTTCCGTTGCCTGGCCCCAAACCCTATGACTTATCCAACCGAATCCGCCATTGGACCCAAGGACCGGGCTGGTCGCAGTCCCCGGGAACCTCCACCTGCACGCGCATCGGAACGCGTCTACTCCCGTGAAGTTGCGCGAGCAATATCTACGGCAGCATCTGTCTGCATGGGCCAGCGCAGTCACAGGAGCCTCGATGGCAGCTCCGAAGCCGGCCCTCTCAGAGCCGCGTCAACCAGGGAAACAGGACATGCCTCTCAATCCCCAATGGCCGACACGCCCAGGACTGTTCCCTGCCCAGCTGCTCTTTTGTCCTTAGCATCTCCTGTCCTGTCCTCAGGAACGCCATGTGGTGCCCTCAGTCCATCTTGCCGCCCTGCTTCATCACCCTGCTACTCTGCGTGGCCGATACGCTATTGCTGCCCTCAAAGGGTGCCCGACCGAGAATCGGGTTGGTGGTCCGCCGGCGCGAAGAAATGATGGCGTCCGCAGCCGCGGCAGCAAAGCTGCCAGACCCCCCGGCTGGCATTGCCAAAACAGGTTGGTTGGCAGCCTCCTTGACCTTCGCCACGGTGTTCGATACCCCTTCCCCAATTGCTTTCCCTAGCTCCGAAAACCAGCTGGATAAAAGACCGTTGTCCGAGGCTGAGTCGGTGCGACCGGAGCCGCCTGCGGCAGCTGCGCGGCCGCCTGCACCTTTATGCATGTCTGCAAGGAGCTGCTGTTGCTGTGAGCGGTACAAACTCCCCCAGCCGAAGCTGTTGGCCGAGTCGGTGCAGGAGTCCACGTCATCGACCTGATTTCGGCGCCGCCGAACTACGTCGTGCTGCCGGGTGGGACCTGTGAGAGGCGGAGAGGCGGCCAGGGGATAAGGGCTTGCCTTCATTTTGCAGGCCTTACCCTCGATTTGAGGTGGGTCCGTGTACGTCATGGGGACTGAATGCTCGCGCAGATGCGCTCCAAGCCCGCCAGGCCCCGATCTCAGAATCCTCCTCCAGCCATCACCCTTCTCAACGGCCAAAGTTTCCCCCAAGACTCTCGCTCTCCGAAGCAAAGCGTGCATACCCAGTTGTAAGCACGGAAACGCCTGGCGCACAGTACTAGCCTCTGATGTCCGCTTCCGACCCATGGGACGCCTGGTATCCTCGCGCCGTACCTGAGCTTGCCGGGGGAAGGTACATCCCCTCGGACGATCGGTCCGTCAGCTCCACTTCAATGGGCTGGAGGTTCCGTGAACAGAGCCCATTACGATCCATGGGGCCTGAGGAGTCCAGGGAAACAGGGGGCCAACGACGTGGGCACTTGGGCCTCTTCTCGCAGCAAGCAAATCATGGGGCAGCGGTGACGACGGTTGCTGCGCAAGGCGGGCACCATGATGCGGGTCTACATTGGTACTTCCGCCACTGTTGCAGCTGTGGGAAAAGGGGAATACGCGACCGCGCGAGACCATTGCCGCTGCCGCAGCTGCACCAACCACGTGGGCCTCTGCCCTACACAGGATCAAACTATGGATATCCTGGCTGCCCGGCCATCGGCGCTGCCCGGCCAGTTGCCAACTCACCACACGTCCCGCACTGGCACATTGCCAACCATGCGCTCTCTGAAATGGGAATGTCCTCCGGGTAAGTGTGCGCGTTGATGACGTTCAGGGTTGTAGCTATCCGAGCCAGTGCCGCTGAGGCAGGCTGCGCTTGTGAGTCGGCATGCAACACGGGGTCGCGGTTTACGCCCGATAGGACCTGAGCACAGACCCTTTGCAGCTCCTCTCTGCACGGAATGTGTGCCAAGCGCGCGTTTGTACCAAAAACATCGCCATGCAAGAGTTTTGACGAACTGTTGCGAGTATAACCAAGCCTCACCCAATGGGAAGGTGCTTCGTCGGTATTAATATCACGCCTCTGGCATAAAGTGCATTGTCTGATAACAGTCCATTCGCCCTCTTTATGTCGCCAACCTGCAGAAGGACGGTGGGCGCTTTCTTTTCGAATTCAGTAACAAAATGGAATGCGCTATCGTTGAACTCACCGATACATTATACTTGATAGCTAAACCGGCAAGGGTGTCAAGCTTGGACACCTGGAGCGAGGAAGACGCACTTAATGCTTAGCCCGCCCCGTCCAGATGGTAACTCGGCAGACTCTCCCAGCATATTTACTTGGTGCTTGACAAAGTCATGTCTGGATTCCGTTTCCCCGCCTTGGCTCGTGCGAGGACTCGTCGAAGCTGCCTCCTCGGAAGGGTGGTAATGAACAGTTGAGGACTCAGCGGAATACTCCATTATACCCTTGACTCGTCCCCAAAGAATCCTGACAGAGTCAAGGTCCGCGGTGTGAGAGTGAGTGCGCAACAGGACAAGTGACTGCTCGTTACATAAAGTCCTTTAAAAACATAAGACGGTAATGCGTTACATCGCTTTATCTGGGTTTGTATGAAAGCACTACGTTTTTGTTCACAACCCGTACGGATTTTGTCCCTAGCTAACTGACGAGTAGTTATCTTCTGCCAGACTGCTGATGTAACAAGAGCGATGTAAATATTTCAATGTGGATTCGTGGGGTGATGTTCTGATAATCATTAGCGTTTCCAGTTGCCCCTTACACCCTCGACCGTAGCAGGCAGATGCATGCATGGTGGTTTATATGTTCATCAACTATCTATGGAATACTGCTTTGGGCTGCACATGGTGAAATGGGACGCAGAATGCTGAGCATGATGACGCAGACAGCGTGCATCCCAATGACTGTGCGCAGCACCTGCCCAAGACAATGCGTTACTGCATTCAGCACATGTTAATCATGCAAACTCAGCTTGCAATCATTTTCAGCAGCTTCAAAGACTCAAAACCTAACTACCGGCTACCCGTAACGCCGTTCACTAGGATGATTGCCAAGTGGCTGCTTGATGGAACCTACCAATCGACCAAAAAGGCCAAGGCCTTATTCGGTAGCGTTTGGTCTCTTTCAAAGATCAAATATTGAGATACGAGTCTTAGCAGCCCGTTGCTCGCCCGTTCAGCTACGCTCAATACGCAATCGTTTGCCGCACGCGACAAAATAAAAGCACAACACAATGGGCGCCTCCACACCGCGCCCGCAGCTCCCTTTTCCTATTCCTCGTCGTTTCGTAGCTCCTTCTCGGTCCTTGAGGCGCTCTCCGCTGCTGCCTCCGTGCTCCTTCCGCCGCCACCCACGCTCCTCACCCGCCAGCTCACCAGCGGCTCGCGCATCAACCGCCACACGAACCGCACGTACAGCACTCCCAAACCCACGCCTACCACTAACGATGCCACCGACACGATGTAATAACCATCACTCGCCAGGCTGCATTCGCCACCAAGTGTTGCGCATACACTGTCCCGTCGTGCCATGTCGGTCATCTTCTTCGGGCAGCTGTACGGCAGTGCCCGCCCATCAGGTGCTGTACATCTCGTCACTGTGAGCGCGTCCATCAGCCAGAACAGCGGCGTCCGCGGCAGCATGAAGCCCATGTTAGCAATCGTGTTGAGCAGCGTGAGGTAGGTGCCGCCCATGTCAGGGTCACTAACGGTATTGAAGAAGGATCCCTGCGCCGTGAAACCCAGATACGACACGAAGGACGTGGCCAGGGACACTGCGGCCAATGCACCAAATGCGCGGCTGTGATCCGCCAGTGAGCTCGCCCCCGCGGGGAAGGCGACAGTGACGGCAACTGTGGCGGTGGCGGTTACCAGCCGCAACCAGTAGCCCGTGATGAAGGGCCAGTAAGGCGAGTGACTGGCGGCCCAGCGACCCGCGATCACCGCCGATAGCAGCTCTAACGGGAACTGCGGCAGCAACGGAAATGGTGGCAAATATAGAACGGCGATAAGGTGGAAAAATCGTCCTGTATTCCTCTGGCAATTGTGGTGTGGTAGCCACGGCCTGACTGAGGCATTGCAAGCAGGCACATGGCAGCAATGGGAGCGGTGCCAGCTGCGGGCCCAGAGAGAGCCCAGTCTCGAGTGTCCCACCCCACATGCGTCGATACTCTGTTCCCCATACGCGGATGACAACTATGTAGCCCTCTCCAAGCCAGTCAACCAGCAAGCCGGATAGCCCGTTATCCCCCCCACCAATCTTCGGCAGCCGCCAGCGACTCCCACTCTGCCGTGCTCGCCCACTCTTTCCTCCCACCTGGAATAGCACCAAGAATGCCAGAGCTTCCTTGGCCACCCCCTTGTCGATCAACTTGAGGCTCGCCGCCCCTTCCGCAGCCAATACCCCCAGCCGGTAACTCAACAGCAGCGCAGTCAGCCGCCACACTGCCGGCAGCCGAATCACTCGCCAAAGCTGCACGTACGCATCTCTCAGCTCCGAAACCGCAACCGACCCTTCATTGTTGCTCCTCTTCTCACTAACAGCAGCGCCGCGAAATTCGGCGGCACCCTTCAGTGCTGGCTGACGCTCCCGCCGCTGCCGCAATCCATCCGGCCCGACACAAGACTGGGTGCCGCCGTCACGTCTGAAGCCTAAGATCTCCCGGTCCTCAGCGCTGAGAGGCGCCGTGGCGTCATCCCCCATTGCACTGACCCGCGGGCCATTATTCTCCTTCACCGCCAGTGCGATGATGACGGTCACGGCGGCAAAGCCCCAGCCCCAGAAGCGCATGTACCCGGCCAGGGAGACCAGCCCCACGTCAGACGGCTGAGAACCAAGCACACTGCGGCCGCCAGACAGGGGCGCATTTTACAGGAGAGTCAGGAAGGTCAGGATGGACAACCCAAATAGTGGTGGGCAGAGGACACTAGATCGCATCGCCGCCAAAACACAGGCGGTCTCTGTGTACGAGTTTCAACCAGCAGCAAACCGTCAGATGGGGAGCAAGGGCGCGTGCTGTGCAGCGGCTTCAGGCTTGGAAAGGGAAGCGCGGACTGTGGTGGGTTAAGGCATAGCTGACACCGTGACTTCACTTCTGAGCTGTTGCGTGCATGAAGTTAATGCAAACTCGAAGCACCAACTGCAGACGCCCCATGGGGCCAGGTGACTAAGATGCGAACGGTCCTTGTAACCTCGCCACACGAAGTTGCCCAGAATGGTGCGACTAAAGAACTGGTGCACGGCTACGCGGAAGCCGTATGTACGGTATAGTACGATACCTGCCAAGCAGTTTGTTGCTGCGGATGAACCTGTTGCAAAAGGCCGGGTCCTGGAGCGCCAAGAAGACGGTGAAGGAGGTGAAGATGCCCGTGGTCTGGCCAACCGTCTGGCACGTAGAGGCGTACGATACGTTGGCGGGCGACAGCAGTGTCAGCGCCCAGCCGTCCACCGCAATGTCCTGAAGGTGACGAAGGGGCTTTCCCACGTTTGAACCGAGAGGCGAAGAAGAACGTGAAGGGAGCGTCCTTGCATGGCAGTGATAGCGTTCGTGGAGTGATGTAGCTGCGCTTATCGGAGTATGCACGTTTGAGAGAATCCATCTCCGTTCCTCGCCGCATACTCCCTCACCATCGCATGACTTGCTCGAATTTGGTGTCCTATGACCATACATAGTCTTTCGAGCCTTTCACGGCTCCAGCGCGTCACAACGTTGGCCCCGCACCTGATACGGACTTCCACCTGCTACGGACTGCTCACCTGCGTCGCCATGAGGAACACGACCACGCCAAACAACCATGTCAGGGTTCCTACATCGGCCTGATCGTACAGGCTCTGGATCCAGTCCGCGCACGTGATTAGTAGGTAAGCGGTGATTAGCTGGATGGGCACGATCCAGCTCTTACGGCGACCCAGCCAGCGGCTGTACAGCGAATCTACAATCGGACTCCACAGCAGCTTGAGCGAATATGGATACGATGACAGGGCAAAGATGCCCATCTGGGTATACGAGAGCTTGGATGACAACATGAACGGCCTGTGCGGGAGAAAGGAGGAGATGCAGGGCCGGCGGGGGCAGCGGGAAAGGATGCTAACATGGGGCATGGACGCCAGAGGAGGCAGGGCATTGGTCCGTTCGGGGGTTGGGGTGTACCTAATTTGAGATGCATCAAGGGAAAGATACCCTCTGGAAGCGTTTTCACCGGCAGCATGCAGAAGTATGACCAAAGCCCAGTCGTAACTGCCGCAACGGCGTACATATATTCGATGCTTTAGGTCCTAATATGTAATGACAGGGATGCAAACCTCAGTACCCAGCTCTCCACCCACAACCGCCTTTGGACTTTGGAACACCGCAATGCGACTCCTCGCCGGCCCCGCTCACTCCTCGCTGTTGCCATGCAGCTGCCGTACTCACAATGCACCAGTCGATAGCCCAAGCGGCACCCCCTGGACCATATACAACAGCACCAAGAGCACAAGGCTGCCTAGCTCCTGACCCGCGGAAGGCTGGTCAGCACGGCGGCGTTGGGTATGCACGTGCAGGTGGTCATGCGCGGCGGCGGGCTCGCCGTCAGCGTCGTACTGCAGTCGGCAAAGGTCGTCAAGGTTCCCGCCAGGTCCGGCCAGGTGCATGTCGCCGCTGCCGTCGACACCGCCGTCGGCAGAAGGACCGCGCGGTACATGTTTTCCAGCAACGTTGGCTCGGCGGCCGTTAACTGAACGGGAGGCTGTGCCGCTGTCAGGGGCCGTAGAATTCCTTACAGCCGAGTCTACGAGTAGGTCGGCCGCAAGAGAGCTCTCCCCGATCACAGAGCTTTTGTACTTGCTGCGTGTCAGGGGCGCCATGGCGTCCAAGCTGGAGCTACTGCTGTAAGGACAGCAACGCTGGCAGCCCAGCAGTCGATACTGTTGTTATCGCTGCGAGAGAAACTGTCAGTGATTGCCGTTGACGATGCGAGACGCCAATTTCCGTGACGCCAGGCAGGAGCAAACTAGGAACGCGCCGGGAGGGCTTCAGTTGTAAAGAATATGGCGTATGACCAGGCTTTCCTGACCACGTCCGTTCGTGACGGCCGAGCTTGGGGCTATTTGCGGCCCTTGCTGGGGCACTCTTCCGTCCGACGCTCTGCTGCGGAGCGCTGTCCTTCAATGCAGGCCGCCAGCAGCTGAGCCTTTTCCTCACACCGCGTAGGGACAAATGTTCCTATCTTTGTGGCGCTCGTGGTCCCGACGCAGTCCTCGAGGTCAGTAACTGCGAATGAGAGGACGATCCTCAAGGTCACGGGCTCCGGACGGCCCTAATGGGCCTTCCCAGCGCACAAGGGGACAGTTATGCACCTTCTCTTGGACAAATTCCAGAGAACAGGCACCAGCCTGCTTTGCTGACGAGGTGCTGGCAGATAAACTGCGGGTAGCACTGGCGCCTGTCAGTCGTTGGCGATGCCGAGGTCGCTAAGCCGTGCGACTCACTTGGTGATCACGAGGATGACGGCGCTGACACTCTGATAAAGATCTAAATATTTGGTTACAAGACATTCAATTGTGCGAGAATGGAAGCAAGTTCCGTCCGACGACCAGGTTGTCGAGTCCACAATCCAGGTCACCGCTACCTAGTTTGTAGCCCATACATGATGACAACCTTTTCAGCCCTTTCGAAAGCAGTGGCATTTTTCGCACTGTTTGTACGGCGTTTCCTAAACCCGTGGAGCTAACGGTCAGCATTTGACGTTACTGGGCTGAATCCGTATTTCGCTTCTGGAATAGTTTGGTGGAGGACACTAGTAGCGTATACCACAGCGCCTTTCGTCAGGAAATTCGTTTGGCGTTAGTAACGAATTTGCAGTTTGATGGTTGGGGATCCAAAGTCATTCGTATCCTTAACCACTTAGAGCATGACTGGGGTGAGGAGGCAGTCGGGGGAGGCATTGATATGAGGGTTAGACGTTACTCGGCTTGCAAGCTTGATGTCGAAGCGCTGATGGACACCCTTAGGACACGTGTCAACGACGATTGGGCAAATGATAGGCTAGCTGTGGACCCTAGAGTTTTCGTTACGGACGGTAGGAAGCCCGGCGTGAAGATGGGCCGCCATAAGCACTGGATGGGGCCACCGAAGCCGTACGCGGGTTATATCCCCCCGGCGCATCATCGTGCCCTAATCCGTTTTCGTTTGTGTGTCTCCGACCTGGCGGTTAATAGTGAGAGCAACAGGGCTAGGGAGCACCGCGTGTGCGCTGTGTGTCGTAGTAATGGTGCTATTGAGGATGAGAAACACTTCTTGGTAGAATGTCCGGCGATTATGTCTGCGCGTCAGAAGCTCTGGGACCTCGGTGTGCCCGTCAATGCGAACATCCGTGATATCATGCAAGTGGATGATCAGCGTGGTCTTGCAAAGGCAATTTTTGAGATGTTTCGCTCCCGGCATGAGCACCTAACTACCTAACTTTCTCGGCGGTAACAGGCAATTGTGTTTCAGAGTCAAATTGACGCTGTTCTTTCTCATAAACACCCGTTTTCTTCTTGCGTAAAACTTTCCTTTTTTGTTGTTTGTTTTGTTTGCTTCGTTTACTTTTCTCTTTTTTCTTTTCGCTATCGACGGCGCTGTCAAAGCGGTTCATGAGGCTCCGGGTTCGTTTGGGCCGTACGAGCTCGCTGAAGCTTGTAACATCCATCATCCATCCATGACGTTGACAGCAGGTCCATGGTTAACAGTCAAACTCAGCCGAAGATTGGAACTTGGAAAGGATTAGCACGCAACATCGTTTCTTTTCTCCATTCCGGCCAGCATGCGCCTGAGGCAACAGGAGCAGTATATGTTACAGCGCAGGCCGAGGAGGCTGAATGCCGCCCGTCTCCACTGACAGTTGATCCCAGTTGCATGGAGAATATTTGACACGCATGCCGCACGTGCCGTTAAGGGTGGTTGCTCCCGCAGCAGAGGACACCCTACCATCGGACAACCGGTCGCAACAACCGCCAAAAGCGTCTGGCGGTTCGCAAGGCAACAGGACTCTCTACGACGGCTGGATGACATTCAGTGGTCAAAGATGTCTCGGTATGGGCTCCACCGAGGAACCTAGCTCAGCTGGATGGGATGGGCAGAAGGTGCGACGCGAGGGAAGAGAGGGACTCGGACCTCGGACTGAACTTGGACTGAACTTGGCGTCGAAGTTCAGTCCGACGCCAGCACGAACCTAATAATCCAGCTTCCATCCGTTGGCGTGATCTTGAACACCCCAAAATGTTTAGGTCATGCCGGCAAATGTCTCCGCAAGCGTGTAGGGCCTTCTTTAGCCGTCCGTCCCCGGACAGGTACCACTCAGCACCACCAGCACCCGCAGCTAGCCGGTCCCGCCAAACAGTAAGCGAACAAACTAGCCAGAGGACTTCTCCGGACGCTGAGCCCAATCTTGCCGCAGCGACCAACGACATTGCCCATCCAGCATCAAGATGCTGCGGTCCAGCTGTGCCCAGCCGTCCAGGGCCACCAATAATCATCACTGGCCATTACCGCCGCCAGAATTAATGGCTGCACAGAGAGGGGTTTCAAATCAATCACCTGTCGCGCAGCCGGGCAGCCTGCTGCCGCTGCCCCGCCACCTGACCGCCCTCTGCCTGGCCATTGCTAGCTCCTCGCATCTGCTCCTGCAGCTCCTTGTAGTCCTCCGGGTCCATTTTCATGCGTGGGAACACCACAATCGCGAACACAGATATGACAATCATTATGCCGTAGGGGCTCTTGACAAAGCTCCACACATCGAAGGGCTTGCGCTTCTCGTAGTATTGAGCCTCCCCGGCAGGTCGAATGACGAGGGGGCTGTGCAGCACCTGTTATGATTTAGGAGAGGAGCGGGGGAGCAGGCAGCTGGTGCAGGGGCAGAGTGGCCAGGAAGGCCGATTGCGATGGGACCTATCCATCTGTCGGTCTGGGCACTGGGGGATAATAGGTCCTACCATAATAAGGTCAAATCAGGACTTAATATAGCTTTGTTGCCCCTGCTGAAAGGTGATACAGGCCATGAACGCAGGGATACCAGAAGGCTCAATGGCTATTACCCAGGGGGCCCACGCGCTTGTGTAACCTCCATGACCCTGGCGTCTAGGACTCCGTGCGACCCACATTCGGCAAGGAATGGGTCTCATTGGCTCTAAGCTCGGTGGACTCAAGCAATCGGAACTTTGGGAGGAATGTGCTCACTGTATCAACAGACCCGAGAATGCAAACCCATTAAGGGGGCCCCCAAGCTACGCCCCATAGAGCGCTTCAGGGTATACGGTCATGTGCACGTAACTTAGATATGAAAAGCTTATGCCATAACATGATAATACAGACACACAGAGATCCTTGGACCTTTAGCAAAGGGGCTCGGTCTCCGTTTCGTTCCCACCCGGGTCCCATCCGGATGCGAAATACCATTTCCCACCCCCGGTCGTTGCTGGCCTTCTCCCTCCCTCCCAAACGCACCAAATGGCGATTGTGGCTGAGGGACGCGCGCACCAGTGTGCCCTTGCGGTTTATCTCCACGCGGATCTGCCACAGGGCCAAGGTGGACTGTCAGCAAAGGCCATATGGAGGGCCCGAAGTGTTCTTTACTGGACGGCGACCGCTACAAGCATACGGACCGTGCAACCACAGGAGCCAGTGCAACAATCCTATGACGGCTCGCCTCCTGGACAGGGTAACCTTCGACGCGAGAATGAAGGCGCGGCCGCGCCCGTATGAGGCCCGTCGAGGCAAGGATCGGCCTGCCATGGCCGTAAACCCTTCGATGATTGGGCGTTGCTGTCCGGAAGCTGCTGGGCCGTTCGGGCGGATTTGAGGTGCGAATGTGCGGCGTACTAGCTTGCTGTTGTCTGGAAAGGCCATTACGGAATCCTAGAGCCCTTGGACCGCACTGTGCAGTACCGGCATTTACCGGCTTGCGGTGCGTCCATTGTGTTATGGTTTGCTTCCAAGCGGATGGCGCCGGCAGCGCTGGTGTCAGGCCCACCAGCTGCCCCTCCGCGCACTGGTCCATTCCCTCCTGGCCAAGAGCACCCCCCGCTGGACTTTCAGCGCCATTGCGGTGCCAGCCTCGTGGCGTACCTCTGGGAAGATGAGCAATAAGTGGAAGGGTTGAAGGAGATGCACACCGGACGGTACGTCGGATAGCACGAACGAGCCATCCCGGCCGACAAACGTGCGGATTAGATCCCCGTGTGCTGTATGGAGAGTTAAGACTGTACTTGAGTGGTTCATGGTGGCTGCGGAGGTAAGCGCAGAGCAGCCACAAGGAGGTACAGTCGCTGTGTGCTCATAGAGCGCCCACCAGGACATATCAATTTGGGCATGTACTTACAAGGTATAATGATTTTCCCCCTAATCACGCCAGAAGGATCAGCGCAAACTAGCCTGCACAAACGCATGGGAGGCACATTATGGCGGCCATGCCCGAAGCATTTAGCAATGTGATTTCACCTACCCTAAAAGTGTTAGAAGCAAGACAGCTGTCAAAAGCTCCATTCCTCGTCAAGCTAGCTGCTGCGGTGTGGCTTGTTTGGATTAAATAATCACCTTTATGGTTCTCTTGAAAACTAGAAAAAAAGCAAGCAGGACGGAATGCACTACAGAATGGATGACCATGTGGTCGTTGTTATGGACGGTTTGAAGTACCGGTACGAGTTACAAATTATACCGCACGCAGTCCCTGATTGACCTTGAGGTTAGAGCGTATTGAGAGCTGCTAATGGCTCCTGTATAATTGTCGGTCGAGAAGCAGCTCCCCGGCACAAAATCTTACTGTAGCCGTTTGAGGCTGATTGTTGGCAGGCACAACTTGAGTCAAGTTTACATGCGTGGAAGTAACAGATCCTCGTTAACCAATAATAAAGGCATGGTAGCAGTCTGACTTGGACACCCTTAAGACAACGCCGTTCGCTGCGATTGTTGCGGAGGGACAAAGCGATGGGCGCCTTCACGGAGACAGCTGTGCCAATTTTCGGCAACATCCTGGCAACGGCAATGCTTTTGTCTCCTTTTCCGGCAGTGCTCCGGCTCCGGCAGACGGGCAAGCTGATGGTAAGGCTGCCGCCCCTTTCCCTGCACCCAGAATCCCTGCACCAATCTTGATGATACTCATGTAACATACAGGACATCAACCCGCTACCTTACCCTATGACATGCATAAATGCGGCGGGGTGGGTTGCGTACGGCTATGCTGTCGCAAACCCGTACATTTTCCCAGCGAACATCATCGGCTTCCTGGCTGGTATGTTCTTCACGTTGACCGCTTTCTCATGTGCACCTCAAAAGGTGAGAAATTTGTGGTTTTCCACTGGTCAGTGCGAAAGGACACACCGTCGTGCGGGTGTTCGGACACCTGCGCAGACGGGGCCAGCTAAAGTTTCGGATGTTGGCGTGCTAGGGACCGTGCCCTTACCCCGTGGGAGAACTCCAGAGGTTATGCTCATCGGTCGTTCCGTGCGTTATCCCTCGCCTGTCTGTCTGTAAGGACAAATGGTGCTTGCCATCCCGGCGTCCGTATATTCAGGGTTTCGATTAGCCTGTCCCTGACTGCTCCTTACGTCTGAATTTCCCGCAGCTGCAAGACCTGATTACGGGGCTACTGGTGGCGGGCTCTGGATACTTCATCATGCTGGGCCTTATCTCTTGCTTTGGGCTAGCCCAGACGGAGTCGCAGCGCATGTGGTACGGTATACATCCCTTCTGGCGTTGCACGTGTCTTATGGAAGTGGAAAGTATGGAACGTGTGGAACGTGTGGAACTCCTGTTTGCGTCAGACGCCTCCTAGCCCCACCAAACCTCATTTGCCCTCTCTGCCCCTTCTCTGCCCGGTCATCACTGTGTGACTGGTTCCTTTACCCAATCTGTATGCCCGGCAGTCAGCCGTCAAGCGCAAGGCATCCTCCCCTAGCCTGGTCTTTTCCAAGGCTATTGGCTCCACTGTGCTTCACCTGAACCCCGCGTGTCACCCAGGGGCATCAGCGCAGTGGCCATCCTGATGTGCTACTACTTCGTGCCCCTGTCCACCATGGTCTCTATAGTGCGCACCCGCAACGCTGCCTCCATCTACCCCCCCCTGGCGGCCACTGCCATCGCCAACGGCTCCATGTGGACCATATACGGACTAGCGGTAAAGGTGAGGTGAGGTGAGGGTACCAGAGGGGTCGCGGGCAAGAACGGCGTGCTTCTAGCACTGAGTACCTCTTGGGCATCGGGTCGCCAAGTCACGTGGCCTCCTACGAACTCACATCACATTCTCCAAACCCACCCTACATGTAACTTCACTTCACCTCACAGGACATCAACCTATGGCTGCCTAACATGTTTGGTGCCGTGATCGGCGCCGTACAGTTAATACTGCGGCTGGTATATGGCGCTCGCTCTGTGGGCGATGCACCGGCGGTTACAGTGGCGGACGAGGAAGCATTCGTAGTAGTCCACAAAGGGTGGGCGAACGGGTGGGCGTTTATGGGAACGGGTCGCCATGGCGCCAATTGCACCTATGCAGGTGTGAAGGTCGTGGAAACTATGTCTTACTACAGGCTCCGCCAGGAGCTTCACTTCGGTGTCCGTCGTTGCGCACATAAGAGGTTGGCGAAGTGGAAACTGGAGTTATGGGCGTTTCAGCACGCATTCACAGGTGTCGGCAAGAAGACAGGATGGGATGGGACTCAGTTCTTCGGCGCCGCCTGCAGAGGGGTTGCTGCCCCGACGCGCACATTCGATGGCTCTGCGGCCTTCCATGCATACTCCGCCAGCCCCGTCCTCGTCAAATCTCCCGTGTCCCGACCTGTAACTGCTATTGGCCACAAAGCCCCCTGGTGCCCGGCTCCTGGACCGCTCTCCCCGCAGTGCGGGGGCCCCAGTGGAGGACCGGATGGACTCTGGAACCAACCTGCTAAGACCCGGACATGTACGCAGCTCCGGACAGGGAGCTACCGGGCCGACAGGGCCAGGAGGGGCAGCGGAGCCGACCGCCAACAGTGGCGCTACAAGCCGCCACTGGTCTGATGACGCCAGCGCTGCATCGCCGGCGTCCCCATCAGACCCCGGGCAGAGTGGGACAGCCCAGCCAGCGGGCGGGCCTCTAACAGCAGCACCATGAACGAAGGGCACGATGTGACAGCGCACGAAGCCAACCCATCCGGCGCCTTGATGTGGTCCCCCGGTCCACACCGATGCGGCAAGACCGACCCACGGAGGCAGTGGTAATGTTGCGTCCCTGCAGCAGGCACACCCGCACATCATGGGCTCCGCTGTTGCGGCGCTCAATGAGCTGAAGCTAGCAGATCAGGTACTGACTCACACGGCTGGAATCTCATGTGCGAAGACAAGGCGGGGTAATCCGCAGAGCCGTAGCTGACGCTCATAGGCGGATGAATCAGCTCGGCCCGTGCTGCTACGCAGGCAGCTCCTCACAGATTGGCAATTCCCACTTCATCAGCCTGCGGTGTGTGCAACTGGTCTGGCTTCCATCTTATCGTGGGGAAATAGGCACTAGAAAGCCACGGAACTCTTTTTTGTATGGTCGATAGTATTACAGTCCCTATCGGACAGTAGCTGCTGGGAGGGGATTAGGAAAAAAACAAACAAACCTACGGGGTGAAATACAAAATAGAAAATTCGCCGACTCGGACTCGACCGGAGGGGCGGCGCGGTCGTGCTACAGGAGGCGGCTGAGGTTGCTGTGGAGGCACCTGATCTCTTAAAACGTCGTAGGTAGCGGCCCTAAGGTTGTAGCACTTTGGGAACGTGTGTCAGGCGGCGTTACAGCCCAATAACACGGGCTCAGGACCTAATGTGCTCCCAATGGCCAGTGTTGGGGAGGAGGGCCTCAAAGCGGCTTTTTCCCATGGAACCCAGGGAGGGAGGTGTGCTGAGTGGAATATTCATTCATATGCCGCTGGGACCAACGTTTTGGAGCTGGTCGAAGAGAGTTTAGCTGGTGCCGTGTTAGAATGTCTTGTTGGGCAGTGAGGCAGTTGGTATTCTTTAATTTACACGAGCGAACTGGTGGAGGGGTGTATGCTTGCTACGTAATCTGCGGCAGAGAGACATGGCGCTGGGGTCTGCATAGGCCCAACTTTGTCCGACGGCAATCATTGTTGTTGTTTGTCTCGTAGTACTTGAGAGGGAGCTTTGTAGGCAGGAAGATCCAGAAAGATGAGAGTGTGAAAGAGAGTAAGGGGGCGCGACTGAACGCCATCAATGCAGCTTCTCCGCAGGATTTTCTTCTAACGTTCGTGTGCACCTGCTATGGTGCTCGACTATGTTTTTCTATTGCTTTTTTGAATGCTTGGGAATGGCTTTGAGACAAATTCTGTAAATTTCGCAGGGGGCCGAAGCTTGCTATGATGCCAGCACTAGAACGGTATGGCCGGCGAGAAGTTCACCTCCATCTGTCGCCTTCATGATCTCCTCTCTCCTTAAGAAACAGATATTGAATCTCAACAGAGATTTACGGTGTAATAATTCGCATAAGAAGGACTTATGGGCTACCATTTTGCTTGTGTCAATCTTAAGCAGGAAGGGGGTCTTACGCGCTTCATATAAGATATGGCAGCGCTGATCAATGCCTAATAAGAGCAAAAGATCGATGAATAATGTAACTTTGCCTACGTGTCATCTCATCATGCCGCGACTCTATCTACCCGGGATGCGGCCGATTCCTTGCATGTTTTATGCCAATGGCAGCCGACACCATACATCAAGACATTGAACGTCCAAAGTAGACCGTAGGTTATTTCTCGATAGAGTGGGACAACGGCGCCCGCCTGTGCAGTAGTTGCAGTAGCCCAACGGTGTCAAACAGAAACTGGCCTGGGATTCTGCCCAATGACACCATTTGGCTACGGAAGAATTGGTGTGTAAAATTTCCAATATCTTTAAGAGTCTAATATGTACACAGATGGTCTATCAAAATCTCGAAGGGGCCTTCTGGCGTCTACGAACCTTACGAACCGGTACGGACGGCCCAGCAACTACCTCCAAGCCAATACAAAACCGCAAGGCGGCAAGGCATAACTTAATAATCCTGGTTAAATAAATTTTACATTATTGTATAAGGGTTTGGGTCAACTTCGCAAGTCGCAGAGGTTTGCCTTTACCCGTCGCCCATCACCACAGGCATAAAGTATGCGGATGACAAATCCGGCCTCTGTGCTGCGGCTGCTCGCTGCTGGGGTACTTATAATGACAGGTGAGTTGATGCTCAAATGAACCCAAGGTCTCAATTTTGACCATCCAGTTTGCCATCCTAACGCTATGGACCCATCGCATATGCCACCAAGTAGCGACCTAAACCCCGAAGAAAAATATAATAATATGTTATGTGTCACTGCGTGACGATACCGCAACGATTTCACAGTGCTGGCTACCGGCGCTGCATCATCGAAAGCCCATCCCGCGCCTAGCCATTCCAAGCCATCGCACCGGGGTCTTATGACTACGGATTCTAATGCTGGCTTTGATCTACTGGAAATGGAGGCCGACCCTGCTGTCACTCGTCAGTTGCGTAAGTATGGAGTGGTTAATGCCGTTAGGAGAGGTTGTGCTTGGTTCGGGATATGCTGTCGCGAGCTCGCGATGGGAAGCACACGTTTGGAAGATTCCTATTCCTGTTTAAAATACCTTTGATTTAGGAATCCTTCGTAGCCTTGGTTGCCAGCTTATGCCTTCGTCGTTGCTTCAATACTTTCCATATCCACGCTTCCTGATTGAACTTCGCTGTGCGTTGCCAAACCTTGCAGTTGCCGCGAAGAAGGCTCCCAAGAAGCGGTCCCCCCCCCCCAAGAAGCAGCCTCCGCCCAGTGTTACCCGCGGCCTGCTTGAGTCGAGCGAGTCGGTTAGTGGCAGCGTTTTCGAGAGCGAGGCCGAGGCCACCATCGAACGTCAGCTACGTAAGTTGGAAGTTGACGTGCGCAGTAAGACCTTTGCCGAGCCGGCGAGGGCCCTACAAAGATTCGATACGTCGGCAGGGCGCTTTGTCTAGGTGCCAATAAGTGGGGATAAATGATACCATGAAGGGTACGTCCATGAAGCCGCCGCCTAGCGTTTATTGAGGGCTCGTGGATAATTTTGTAGGCCCACTGTTGGGCCACACCACCGCACGAACATAGCTCGCGTTGCACTCACATCTGCCCTGGCGGTTGCCCAACTGCCCTTGCAGTCGCCGCGAAGAAGGCTCACAAGAAGCACTCCCCGCCCCCCAAGAAGCAGCCGCCGCCCAGTGTTACCCGCGGCCTGCTAGAGGACGACAGCGTCTTCCAGATTGAGGCAGAGGCAAGCGTCAGGCGCCAGGCTCGTAAGTGGGGTCGCAGTTGTGTCTCCTAGGCGAAATCTGAGAGGTGGAAGACGCAGACAGGCTTTCTAAAGGGACTCTGCATGGATGTGAGATGCCATGCTTGTGTGTGTGTATGTGTGTGTGTAAATTGTGCGTATTTTAATCACCAGAGCGGAGATCCTGACTGCAAACGTTATCCCGCTTCCCCAACGCCCTTGCAGTTGCCGCGAAGAAGGCTCCCAAGAAGCGGTCCCCGCCCCCCAAGAAGCAGCCTCCGCCCAGTGTTACCCGCGGCCTGCTTGAGTCGAGCGAGTCGGTTAGTGACAGCGTTTTCGATTTCGAGGTTGAGGCAGCCGCCAAACGCCATTTACGTAAGCTCGGGTTCAGGCTTTGCGATGGAAAATCCTAGTAAGCCGCTGCACGGAGGGAAGTAAAAGCCATGTGGTTGCTTGCTGAGCGGATGTGCGCAGCTGGGGCCGCACGTGACCTTGCGGTGGGCTTCCTCTCCCAATAAAGAGGAAAAAAACCCAAACATCAATCATCGCGCAAGCACGCGACAGGTTAATCCTGTTCTATGACAGCTTTGTGCGTACAGGGGTGGCAGGCTGCACAGTATGTCTTAATCGGTGTCCCATTTGCCTTTCCTCAGGGTTGCTATCCTTTCCTGACCCCCCTCGCCCGGTCCTTGCACTGCTGCCTGTGACCCCAACACGTGCGGTGCAGTTGCCGTCAAGCCACCCGTCGGCAAGGTGCAGCCCCCGCTGACCGGCAAGACGCACCCACCACCCGTCGGCAAGGTGCAGCCCCCGTTGACTGGCAAGACGCATCCACCACCCGTCGGCAAGGTGCAGCCCCCGCCACTTAAGGCATAAACTCATGCGGCAACGGCCCTTTTGGTAATTGAGATGCAGCGAGCGCCTCAGCCAGGCGGTGGCGCTCCTTGATAGCGTCCTGCTGGCTGCGGTGCATAGGAAGCCGCCGCTTGCGGCGTATACGTGTGCCTTTGGTGCCGCGGGATATCACGGTTGGGACCGAGGCAACTGGCGGAGGATAAGGAATGAAGCTGGGTGCAGGTGCAAGGCTGGCCTGTGCGCGGCCGCTCTGCCCATGGCATCATCCCTGAGTAGTCCGAGACAACCGATTCACACAAATGATACTTAGGCACATGGCGTCCTAGAAAGGGAGATCTATAGACCGATTCGGACCGGGGCACAGCGGCAAGGGTATGGTAGCGCGCAGGCGATCAGACGGAGGTGCTGCCCTTCGTGGATGCGAGTTTGACTAGACTGGGTATGAGAAGCTCAGATTGTGGGGCTCTTACGGTTGCATAAACACCATAATAGGGTGGCTTGCCGGGAGCCTCGTGTGTTTGTTTTTGGAGGAAAGGGCAGCGGCGAACAAATGATAATATGCGCTTTTGCTGTCACAAGAATAAACTAGACAGGCGTGCAGCATTTATTTGCAGCTGTTTGCAGCACGCGGCGGTGCCTTGAACGTGCGAAACCGTCCGAAGTGATTTAGGGTACACATGCATGCGGCATTGGCAAAGGCTCTTATCGTCATTGTTATCGTTATGTGGCATTTGTAAAGTGGCATGCAGGTGAAGGAATCGAACGGTGACTTGCCAGCTCCCACCTTTACGCAAGCGCATACCAAAGGCACCCTGTTAGAATTGCACAGTATCGAAAGGACACGTACAGCTGCAACAATGGTAATAAATCAACCTATTGTGTTGTTACGCTTTCCAGGAGCTGCGCCTGGCCCGATTAGAAGTGGCAACTAAAGAGCGCGACCACAGAAAGGTGAAACAAGCCCCAACCGGGAACCGCTTCAAGAACTACACGCGCCCATTGAGTTAGAACACTAAAACGCGGAGAGATCCTCCTGATCACGGACATGGAGCACCACGGGGACTATACCAGGCCTTCCGCTGGACTATACCGGGTAAAAGCAAGAAGCCACAACCTCACCTCAACCAAACGCGAAGACAGAGAAAGGCAGGAAAGATGGAACCGGAATCAGAGGCAGCATGAAGCGGAAAAAGACGGGATACTGACACTGAGAAAAATGCGCACGCGAAATGCAAATCAAAAGCCTGTGCTGACAAGACAACAGCAAGTGAAATAACACGACCTCCTCGCTCAGACGGCATCGTGCGCACAGCAGGTGAAATACCAAAACGTAAAAGAAACCAAAACACAGAACCTTACGCTCGGTAGGGCCGTACCGCGGGGCTCTGTGGCAGGATGTGCACGTAGTCCACCCAAGCAATTCCCGAGGGTGGCAGCAGGACCCCACTGGCTGCAGCTGCTGTTGCTTGGGCTGATGGGGTGTGGGAATGCTATTGCTGCTGCTGGAGCCCGACGGGCTGCATGGCCACGGGTAGTGTTCGCGTTGGGAGTGCAGGGCGAGCCTCGGGGCAGAGCGCAAAGCAGGGGGTAAGGACCTAGAAGAGAACAGTGACGGTGGCAGCGTGGCCTATCCTGGGAGGGGCACGACGGGGAGCCATTCATCCATCTCGCTTCGTGCGCCAAATGCACGCCTTGAACCACTGGCTGCAGGTCAAAGCCCCTAGAAGCTCCCAGGTTGTGGACAGGCAGATGCTTGACGACCTACATTGCACCTTGCCATCGTGTATGGGAATCCCACTCAACAACGGTCCACAGGATGCCTATCGTAACGCATCCCAACGGTTTCGGATGCATCGGGAGATGATCTAAATCTAAGGAAAGGCGGAAGGGGGCTTGCGCGTCGGTCACCAACCCCAATACAGCACGGCCGATGAGGAAAAGCCACGGGCCCGTGGGGACTCACGATTGAGTCAAAATGGCGTCCACAATCAGCATTATCATGGTATCTATATCGCGCACATAAAATCGCTTCAGGTATGGGCTTACGCCTGCCACCCCATGGCGGTCACTGCAATGTAACCTCCCAGAACCGAATAGGGAGGGACTTTTCATAAAGACGTTGTACTGATCGCGCACCATATGTATTCTGCAACACGAAGCACGGGGCAGTACAGCACCCAGAACCCAATGGTGGCGCTCAAGTGTTACACGACTGCGCAATGCGTCTTATAACATGCGATGGAGTGACTTGCCGATCAGCGCTCATGACGGCCCGATGTTTTTACAGAGCGGGATTGATCCAGCTTTCCTAATGGATCAAGACATTCCCAATAAACCTCTGTAACTTCGCTTAAAAGGCTGATTAAGTAAATAGATATTCAGGTTTCATTATATTACTCTTCCACACTCCTGTCATGCTATCCGTACGGACGTATTGGCTAAGAAGTTTGTGGCAGTAGCACATGACCATCCTGTATGTGCATTTGTTTTTAGTAGGTCAGGATACAGCTAGTCGTACATGCATATGCGTTGATGAAATAGTGAATAGGACGACTTGCTGTTGCCAGGCTGTGGCTGCTGGCCCTTCTTTGCACGTTTCCGCTGTAGAATTCTGGCACATCTTTAGAATGGGGCTGAAGATAGGCCTTCTAATTGTGACTTTTGGGTCTATAGCTCTGTTATGTGTCGCCTTCGTCCGTTTCAAGTCGCTGTGCCCTCCCTCAGTCCCTGCACATCTGACGGACTTGGATAGCCTTCTTGACCTACTACATGAATGGGAGACTCACGGAATGTCAGGGTTAGCGGCACAGTCAGTCAGCCGGGTGGCTGCTGAGCTCGCAACAGCCATGGCGGCAGCGCGCTCTGCCCAGACAACATCACCTCCCACACTCGCATCGCAAGCCACGTACTCCGCATCCAACGACCTTGCCACCGAGCAGGCTGCTCTCCGTGCACTGTCCCTTGCCGGCACGCAATGCCATGTCGCCTGGCACACCGAATACTGGGGCGATACCGTCGTCTGGGGTAGCGCCCATCACGCGCGCAGCGCAGCGGAGTGCTGTGCTGCCTGTTCGTCCCACCAGCTAGCCGCCTCACGTGGCGGACTGGACAAGGGCCCTAACAGCACAACGTGCAATGTATGGGTCTTCTGCGGTGACGCCGCACGCTGCGGGCCCCACTACCAGGAATGCTGGCTCAAGTCCCTCGCAAAGCTGCCACCGCCGCCACAGCCGGGGGCTAACAGCATGTGGACCTCCGGTGTGGTATACCCCGGCGATGAGTGGCTCCTGCCGTACCAATCCATGAAGACGCTGACAATGCACTTACCTATGGGAGATGTGGTGGTAGAGTTGTTGCCTGACCTGGCCCCGCGGTCCGTGCACGAGATCCGGCGACTGGCGGCCATGTTGGCTGGCAGCGCTTGCGATGGCTGCAAGCTGTACCGCGTGGAGACGAACTTCCTGGTGCAGGGCGTCTTGTTCCACCCTGGTGCGTTCGAGGACTGAACCCAGTTGCGGATTTGGTGTTAGACGTAGGCCTGGTAGGCCCGGACGGGGGCATCGAGGGTGGTCTGTTCCGTAGCGTCCTACTAGCCGTGCAGTGCAGGAGTGCCCAAGAAGCCGGCGCTACAATTAGAACCGTAGAATGGAAGGGGGAGGAACTACACAAACTTCAGAAAAAGGTGGAGCCGCGGCCAGGGGTCTTGGCATCTGGGCTGTGGCTCGGGACGAGGCAGCTGCGGCGATTGCGTCTCTCTATTCGCTCCAACACGTGCTGCTGTAGTTCACTGTTGCCAAGCTCCAACTTCCCACTTCGACTTCCAATACGTACGGTGCGCAGGTGGTTACGTGGGCACCACGCGGCTGCCCAACCCGCAGCAGAAGAAGGTCATGGAGCGCGGGCTGGCGTGCTGGGCTGGCTGCGGCGGCGGCCCCGACTTCTTCGTCAACCTGATTGACCAGTCGGGCTTCGGTGACTGCCACCTTTGCTGGGGTTTCATCTGGGATATGAGCCTGATGGACGCCATCGTGAAGCTGCCCACCAAGCCCAAGGCGAGCCCCAACGACATGACCTTCCTGGCGCAGGAGCTGCATTTCAACATTACGCTCAGCTAGAATTGACGACTGGGAGAGGGGGAAATTGAGGAGGGGGAGACGAAAGCCTTCATATTGGAGGGCTGTTATTTATATTCCGCTGATGCGCAGCTGATGCGCAATGCTGCTGCCAGTGGCATGCTCAGGTCGGGGGGCCCGGGGGCCGCTGTATACTAGAGAGCTCTCGCGCTCCTCGCACGCGAAGCGCTGCTCGTAGGAGACATTGCACTGCTGGAGCCGCGGCCCCGCGCAGTAACGTTGATAGTGAATTTCCTAAAGGAAGGTAGGTGGGCAAACGGGATACGTTTTGAGAGCATTAAATTCCCAAAAACGTCTGCAGCAGCTGGCGCAAAGCCGCTTCCCCGTCACTCACAGCTTAAATTGGGATGCGGGAACTGCAGTACAGCCCTCCTCTGTGTGACCCGCGGAAAACGTGCCTTGCAGACTTTGATGAGTTGGCTGATCCCCCGGCCAGCTGAGGTGATCCAGGGCCTCGTATGACATAGTACCTCGCGCTGCTGGATAGCCGTAATGCCGTGGCAGTTGTTCAGGGGACAATCCTGGGTCCGCTTCCCCAGGTGCATGTGGATTGACGGTTGAGTGTGCCTCATGAACATGCTCCGATCCCCCGTACTAAGGCCCCAGGCGCCCGTTGGCCGTGTGCGGTGAGCACATGAGGTCTATGCACGAAGATTGCCCTACGACTTTGCAAATAGCGCGTGTATAGTTATTCCGAAGCGTGTGGTGGTAACTTTACGGGCTGCCGATGGCAGTTCTGGTCAAAGCCTCAGTCTAGCGGCCAGCAAATCGGAGGCTTCTTGCAAACTTTCACAGCATCTGCTCTTCCACCGACCGGCCTTTTATAGGAGCATGTGGAGGATGACCAATGCGGATTATGCCGGGGGTTATATGGACACCCAGGGAGAGATGCTTAGGGTGGCGTTGGGGCAGCTGCTGCTGAACCTGCACGCCGCCTCAAAGGCGCTAATGGCGGCCTAGGCCGTTACGTCCGAGACCACTTGCTGTACCGTTTCCGATGGCTTGGCTAACCAGTAGTATACGCATCTGACTGCTTGTGGACGCAACCTTGACGCATTCCCTAGTCCGTAGCCCTAAGGGCCGGCCCAGGGCTGTCCGAAGTCAATATAATCCCATGAGAAAAGCCGTTATCTTATCATCCAACACAAGGAAACATGTCAAACTGAACTTCCCAGACTGGTATGCCATCGCAGTGCGCCTTCCAGCTGTTTCTTACCCTCGTTACCCAATCACTGTGGATAAGGTTTGACAACAATCAGCTGGTCAACCGCAGCCGTAGTCTGATCCACCTGAAACCCGACGGCGAGTGTAGGCTGGGCGCTCCCAGAGATCATGGTCCTCCACGGTTTGGGGCTGGCAAAACTTGCAGATCCTCTGTTCACGCGCGATCCCCCCATAAGCAAGTTACTAGTGCCGCACGAGTGGGGGGGGATCCGTCAAAGCCGGGAGGCCATGGACTATATTTTGAAAGTAGGTTACACCGTACAACGGACGGCGGTTTGGATCCTGCCAACTAGACCCCTCCTCATCCAGTCACCCGGCATCTGCAGAGACAGATCAGCCATCACTACCAACTCAGCATGCGAAACTTAATCCATCAACTGGCATCATTTGCACACCTTACCAGCGATTTGTAGATCTAAATATCCATCGTCGGGGCTCTGACCAGGTTTCGAACCCAGAAATCTTCACATACACAAAGGTGTCACCAGACCCGCTCTATTGCATCTAGCGACCAGCACCTGGGGCCCCAGCAGCTAATCCGTCCCACACAAATATGCGTACTCCCCAAAAAGCGGAACAGCTTGGAGCCTAACCATCTGCGAGTTCCTCCCCCATCAACACCAGGAGGACCTCCTGGCGTAGAGTTGTGCGCGCAAGGGACCCTGGCTGGGTCACTACTCTATTCCAAAAGCCGATAGCACGCGGCCCAAAAGTAGCGCAGAGGATATTGCGAGAGCTTTGCAAATAGCAGCCTGTGTGGGGCTCTGTGCGGCCTACGTATGAGCTGGGCCTGTTTCGCCGGATCCCAGTACGGAAAACATAGGGTCTATCCGGGCGGTGGGGCATGCTGCTTTAGGCGTCTTCCCCCTTACATTTATTTCGACGTCGGCGGTGTATATGTGTCGTAATGATCCGAGCCGCAACGTGGGAAATGCCTATGGTGGTACACGAATAACTTTGCAACCCGATTGATGAGTGGTTGAAGGCATACGCGTTGTCCAGCCAGATGTGTACCCGTCAGGCGCCAAGCAACCAGGAATTCACATGGCGAAGTATTCGCATTGGATTGGTCTGGCGGCCGAGCAAGCGGGCAGGAAGGACGTGCTCCCCATACCACGACGTTTATCCCACGTTCAGCAAATCGAAAGGTTATGCAGTTTAGGCTATGCTGTTGGGCATTGGCGGCGAACAGAGCGCGCAAGGGGGGGCGTTATAAACTTAGGGAGGAGCGGGTATGCCCCTGATACGGCACTAATAGCCATATTGAAGATGCGAAAGACTTCTACGACTACTACAACTACTATGACTAGTACTTCTTGTACAGTACTTAAACTGTGGGGTCATGTCCCCCTCCCAGGACGTTTTGCTGGACTGTCCGGTGTACGGCAAAATCAGATATTGGTTGCTGGAACGTCGGGTCCTACCGCAACTCTATCGTTCCCTTTGTCCTTAGTCTCTTTTATTACTTGCTTTGTCTGAAGTGCGAGGTAGGACGGTGCTTATAGGCGATCTGGCAGCCCTTGAGCCCTCGGCTAGTATTGGGCGGTTTGCAGGTACGGGGAACACACCCCGCGACTATGTAATACACACATACACATGCAACCCAGAACAAGCCGTCCCATCCTGGAGTCGCTAACGGAAAACCCTTTTACCCTAAAAACATAAGAGGGTATTGTTTGGTAGTGTTTCTGGCTTGATGCGTGCGGTGCGGTGCGATTGTGTTAGCGACTCCAGGTGGGACTCCACCGCCTCACGAGGGGTTGCAATAACTTTGAGTCAAGTGCGCCATGCTATGAGACGCGAACACTTACAAGCGCAACCACTGACAACTTTAAACGGGGTCACGTTAACTATCTATAAAGGAAGTGCAAACTGGGAAATGGGGAGAACGCCAGGCACCGCACAGGCCCACCATGGGCGTGGTCACACACAGGACCCTGAAAGCGAGCAACTGCACACGCGTATAGGCCGCCACGCTGGCGCCGGCCTACATGCATACACCCCCGAACACCGGGTCCCTCACATCTCCTCTACCACCGAGCGGCGCACCGCCATCGACTTCTTCACGTACAGCTGCACTGCTTCTGACTTCGATCGCCCGTGCTCTTTGATGGCCTCCAAGCTGGCTACGGCGTTGGCCACCGTGGTCACGCTTCCTCACCGCAATCTGTGTGCCGAGAGGGAGATGCAGCTGACCGTGAGGCCAGGCACCGCCAGCTGCAGCTCCTTGATCGACTGGTGCAGCCAGTGGGTGAAGCCAGCCCTCTCCCAGGCCACCTGGCGCGCCCCACGCACCTCATGCACGAAAGCAGCGCTTCTGAACGCTCCCTGACGAAACCCAGGTGCCTGTGCACGATCTTTCCGATAGGCACCTTGCTGCGGTAAGTTCGGCCAAGCAGACCAGGCCTCCAGTGCCCCTATGGTCCGTCTTGCTCTGAGCCACCTGAGTACAGGTGCACCCACTTGCGAGCCCCTGCACTCCCCACAGTCAGCACCACTAGTACACTCCACCGTGACATCCCAAAGAAACCCAGCAGCACGAGCCAGCAAGCGTCCTGCGAGAACTCTGCCTACCTGCACGGCTCCACCACGGCTCCACAGCTCCACCAGGACGCGTCCAACAACTGGATGCGTCCCCTTCCTTAAGAACCGGGGAAAGGGTGCTAGTAGTGAATCCGCGCGGGTACTCGGCCCCTTACACACGATTTACAGCGCCGTGAAGTATGTTGCCAAGGCGAACACGGGCTGCTGCCCTTTGCTCTCCCTGATCGCGTATTTGTAGTACTCGGCCGGGATGCCCTCCAGGCCCGCGGACTTATTAAATGCACACGGTGCTGAGGCCACTGGTAATTTTGGCTTCCGTGGAATCAGTGTTGAGCCACGCCGACAACCCCCAATGGTGCTCTACTCGATCCACATCGAGCCAGCTATACTGGCTACTCCCTGCCCAACAAGCCTCCTCAACACGATCCTTGGTGTCAAAACTCATCACAGTGCAGTATGCGGGCAACTAGGGCACCAGCCTGCCGCTAAAGTTACAAGTTACAAGTTCCGCACACAAGTGCGGGTGTGTCCGTAAAAGCCGGGGGGGCCATGGACGTTGTATTGGTATTGATGCGGGTTCGCGGGAGGTCATCTGCATTCTCCCTCGTCCGCTTCAGGGCGAAGCGCCTCAGCGCGACGTGCCTGGCCTCCCAGATTTCCGAGAGGTACCTGGCCAATGCCAGGGGCTGGCGCCTCAGTCATAGTGGTGCGCATGCTGCGCCCCGTAAGGACTAGGTCACCATCATACTTAGCCCGTATGCTCTTGTAAGCGGGACATTCTTCGAAAACATGGAACTCATCTTCAACCGCTCCACAGTCACAAAGCCTGCAGGTACGCGCGGTGCGCTCACGCCCATTAGGCCTATTAACTTCTAACTCCCAACAGCCTAACCGAAAACGCATGAGCACATGATGAAGTCGCTGGGGCATGGTCCCTTTAGTGTGCTCCAACCAATCAAGACGCGCACCCCTTGACGGGGCAGCTCCCATCCAGTTCATATAGCGACACGCCTTGGCTCCGGTAATTCCTATGGGGAAGACGCGGGGGTCACCCAAGGTATTCGGGCACTCCCACCGAGCATCAAGCCGCTTGGCAAATACCTTAAGAATGCTCTCGACTGGCAATTTAAGGGTGGTGTAGTACGATATAAGATCATTACCGCGCGTATTAGTTGGGGGTTCCACTCCTAAGCTAGTAAGAAAGGCTAGTACCTTGCTTGCCCAACACTCAGTGACGCCCCCAAGTGCCAACTCCAGGTCAGCGACAAATGCCCGGTGACACAACGTTCCCGGCCTCTTAACCACAGAGTTCCAAAACCTAAGTACAAGATTGGTCCAATGGAACTGGAGTGGCCTCTGTGACAGCTCGCGATATAGGGAAACCATAGTCGGGCTCCTCGCCCCAACTACGGTTCGCATGTAAGCACGCTGTTCCTGGACCATGGGATTAGCCATAGCACCTTCAAAATTCACATTAATGAAGTCAGGTCCCCAAACTTGCGCTCCATAAGAAAACACCGGTACAACTAGTGTATTGTAGAGAGACATACATAGCTTTGGGGGTGGTACTTTCTTATCACGACACA